ATGGCAGTTCCCTGACACATGCCTATGTTGGCTAAAGGAATGGATCAAACTAGAAAATAAGGAGCTATTAGATCTTGAAGGTTTTGATAACAGATTTGGTTGGCACGCATATTTATGGTGTGATAAGAAGAAAGTTCATAAAAGTTTTGGAAGCCACATTTTCAGGAGTTCGTTAATAGAAATATGGGATAGATACAAAAATATATTGGAACCAAAAGTCCCACATTGGCTATCTCCGCTGGAGATTATGAGTGTTAAGAAAATTAATATGAGAGGTAAATGGAGTACATATGGAGAATTGGTAATTAAAGAAGGAGGAAAATGGAAACTGAAACCATATGAACAAGTTAAAGATCATGTATATGATTGGTTGCATTATTTTCAAGTAAATGAAATGTTTTAAAAAGATCTAAAGGAAAGCGGTTATGTAGAAAAAGATTCTAAATTTCAAACAGATATAATAAACAATGAATGTAAAACTTTGTCAAAAATGTATAAGATATTGTTGGAATGGCATACGAAAGATGAAGAGGTTAAATCGGTAATGATACAATGGGCCAAAGATTTTGGGTATAATATACAATTTGATGAGTGGGAAAAACTGTGGAAAGAGAATGTAAAATTCACTGCATGTACGGCACTGAAAGAAAATGTTATGAAAATGTTTTATAGATGGTACATTACACCTGTAAAGTTAGCAAAGATGTATAAGATGTGCAACAAATGTTGGAAATGTAAAGAAAAAGAAGGAACATTCTTTCATGTGTGGTGGGAATGTAAGAAAGCGAAAAGCTTTTGGGAAATGATTTATAATGAAATGAAAAAGATGTTAAGATATACTTTTGTAAAAAAACCAGAGACTTTTCTTTTAGGGATTACAGGAAAGGAAATAAGAAGAAAAGACTGTAAACTCTTCCAATATGCAGTTACGGCAGCCAGAATACTGTTGGCCCAGAAATGGAAACAAGAGGAAATACCGACGATAGAAGAATGGAGAATGAAACTGACAGATTATGCGGAACTGGACAAACTAACTGGGAAAATTAGATACACCAGAGACCAAAAGTTCATCGAAGACTGGGGAAAGTTCGTAGATTATCTGAAAAATGTATGTGACGTGAATACAACGCTAGTGGGATTTCAAGAGGCACTGTAAAAACAGAGAAGTATTGTTAATAAGAAATAGATGGAGAAGGGAAGTTTAATGGCAATACGAATGAAGGGAATGTGTATTAAAGATATGAACATGGATGATTGTCAGAGACGCTGAAGGAAGTTCAAAAAGAGACAATTTGTTGAAATTTGGATAAAAATGTATAATTGTATGGAAAACTAATAAAAAATTATTTTTTTTAAAAAAAGGAATGTGTTTCATCTGTGGCCATTCTTGGGGTTCATATTTCTCAAAGTAGACTTGCCAAAGGATAGGTCCATATGCAGAGTACATATTTGCACTGAGATCAGTCAGGCATGATAATAATCTGATTCTTTCCTTGTTTGTGTTACCTTCTTTCAAACTATTATAAAGCATACCATAATCTTTCAACACATGGAGCAGTAAGTGAAGAGATATTTATAATAATATTAAAACAAGAATGTATATTAAAAAAAGGCTTTGATTAAGTTATTTGGAAGACACATCGTTCAGTGAAAATGACTTGACTATTAATTTGACCCTTGGTTCTCAAGTATCAGGTCTGTAAAAATGAATTTAAGTACAGTGGTACCTCGGGTTACATACGCTTCAGGTTACAGACTCCGCTAACCCAGAAATAGTACCTCGGGTTAAGAACCTTGCTTCAGGATGAGAACAGAAATTGTGCTCTGGCGGTGCAGTGGCAGCGGGAGGCCCCATTAGCTAAGGTGGTGCTTCAGGTTAAGAACAGTTTCAGGTTAAGTGCAGACCTCCGGAACAAATTAAGTTCTTAACCCAAGGTACCACTGTAATCACATTTCTAAAACTCAGCAGAATGCTTTTGTAGTTGCCTAATCGGCCCCAAATATGAATCAGGGTTTCGTAATATTGCAATAGCATGACAACCATGCATTACAACGTAGATTGTGGTTTGTTTGTTTATTTTCAAATTATTTTTCCCATTCTAAACATTGGAAATATGTCCAATTGAGCTTCTTTACAAAAACGTGCTAAAAAGTACCGGCAAATGTGGCAGGCTGCTGTTTTCAACCTCCTATATTCAGCAGTACCAGTGGCTTCAAAAGGATTATTACAAATTAACTTGACTGATCAAAACTGTAACACTTCTTACAAACAGCAACTTTTTGAACTAAATGAACTGTCAGCAAACTTAAAATAATATAAATCCTGAATCCATTCAAAGACATCTGATTTGATCAAATACAGAGTGAGTATTAAAACTTTTAAGAACTCTTGTATCATAGAGTTGACATTCACAGGACACTCTGAGCTGGATCTCCCATGAACATATACCACGAAACTTCCTTAAGAACATTAACATTTTCTCTTTCAACTGCAGCTCCTCATACTTAGTAAGAGGTCATGTGGGAGATTCCTCTGATTTTCAAAAGCAACTTTTTGGGTAGCACAGGACTGGCTGTGTCAAAGCTTCTCCCATATCCTTTAGATACACCCTCCAGCATTTCATATAAGGACCGCTGTCTCCACACACACACTTTTCTGCTAATAGATGTTCCTTTTACAGAAATTAAATGTTTAATTTTATTATGGATCTGGTTAGAATTATAGGATGCTAGAATTTTGCAGTGGATCTGATTTTAGTGATTATTGATTAGATGCAACACTAAACACATTCAGCAACTTCTTTCTTTCTTTCTTTCTTTCTTTCTTTCTTTCTTTCTTTCTTTCTTTCTTGACTATTTTCACTGGTCTGTAAACGATTGCAGACACAACTTCTCTAGAGAGCAGAGGCCGAAGCCTCAGTAAAAGCAACTCTAACCCAGTTTTTGAAAAGGCATTCCCCTTCCTCAGATCTCCTCACAAGGCAAATCAGAGTAAAATAGATGAAAGGATTTACTAGGGAAATGAATTAAAATCAGGGGTCATCCTTGATATATAGGGACATTTGGAATGTAAGCTTTGGGTCCCAGCTTTATTCTGAGGAGAAAAACATGATTATATCATTTTATATCACTCCTTCACACACCATATGCTGTTTAAAACACACAATGGATTGAGACCACTAGAGATTCCAGTCCATGTATCACTTGTGCATTTATCTGTCAGGAGGCAAAAGTTCTTTACTTCATGACCACCCTCACCCCACTTCTGAAATAATATCCTGCAATTTACTAATTTCTTGATTTAAGAAAGATATTTTACTTGTGTTTCAATTCATACACAAAAACCGGTAACTAACAGTGCTTAAAAATATTAACACTACTTCACTTGTTCACAAACGTACAAAATAATAATAATAATAATAATAATGGATTTACATTCAACAGTAAAGCTTAATGTCCACGCTAGGTAATAGTTTCATTGACATTCACATACACAAGCACAGAATAAATATTTCAGGATACTTATAAGAGCATAGAGCATACATACAGTACTTGAATTTTACATAATGAGTGATAGTTGTAGGGTTGGAAATCATAAACTCAGAGAGAAATTAAACTATAGCCCAAGGAAGTCATGAGGGAGGTAATAACACCAAGACACTGCACAGAGCCAGCAGGTGAGTCGATCTGCTTAGTGTGAGAAAGGGTCTGCTTCAGCTTCCTCTGACAAAAAATTGTTTACAAATGTCGTGTATTCAAAGTGCAGAATAAGTAATGCAAAAAGAGAAAGAGAATATCTTGTATTTCTTAATGCATGCAAGAGGCAGTCTCCCCCCAGAACCAGTGACCTGACAGAATAAAGCTGTGATTGGCAGATATAATACAGATGTTTCAGGCAAATTTTTCTAAAGCACTTCAATAGCAGCAATTATATTTTCTAATGGCTGTAAATTTACTTCAGTCTGGGTTAAAGGAATCCTATTTCTTCCTCATTTACAGCTACTTTCCCTTTATAAATAGAGATATCAAATCACAAACAGCATAGATAAGATTTTCTTTTTTGTCCTTACTTTTGCATATGTGTTATGGAAATACTCTGACCTTTTCAGAGACATTATGTGCAAAAGAATGTTAAATAGAGTGGAAACAAGGACATAAAGGAAACATCACAGTCAGTTACATTCCTGAGATGTCAACCTTCCCTTCCCTTGTTAAACTCCGAGGACATGTCTGCACAGTGGTTTCAAAAGGCATTGGATGTTCCCCGGAAGGACACCCAACTCCCTGCGGTTCATGCATGCCAAGGCCTGGGTAGCAGGACCAGTTCTGTCTACACAGCTGGATACAAAATGTGAACAAAGGAATCTCCACTCCTCAAGGTTCCTCTTCAGTTTGTTTGGTGGTTTGTTTGTTTGTTGTTGTTGTTTTGAGAGGGGGGGGTTCCCCATGCTCCCTGTTTATCGCGGGAGCACTGAGCCAGGAGTGTGGGCAGTTGCTGTGTAGACGTTCCCTGAGGGACATCCTTGCTAGGAGAACAAAAGGCCTTATTGTGGCAATACGGCCAATGGCTTGGAAGAAGATATACTTCATGGTATAGAGTTATCTGAGTGAGTCTTCCTTTTTTTGCTGGAGTGTGTATATAAAATATATAAAAGCTCCAGCATACTACACACTAGCTCTTGTAGATTATGAAAAATCTAATTGCAAATTTTAAGATAGTTCCCCAGGCCGCACAGCATTGCACATTAATTTCACAAGGAACTTCACTTGTTTGTGTTTTGGAACGCTTCTTGTGTCGTATTAATCTGATCTTGCATCACCTAGCTGATAATCAGCACACAAAAGTTTCCAATCAGGTACAGGGTGCACAATACCAAAAATGTTTAAGTCCCCCTCCCACCCCCACCCCACCCCCCGTAAGTATCATCAGGACAGGATCACAGGAACCACAATGCAAAGAGTCCAACCTCGCACTGGCTGTATTGTGAAGAGTCTCCTTTTCAGCGTAGGAGAAAAGAAACTTGTGTCTGCTTTTTAGATTCTGAAAACAAGCCAGAGTGGAGAAAAAGAGTTAACACCAGGCTTAATAAAGCTTTCAAGACAAAACTGTTAAGCAATCTAGACAGACATTGTGAATTCCCTGTGGATTTCTGAAGTCTTGCACATACAGGAAATTGGCTAACAGTAGGAAGAAGTTGGGAGTTGCTACATAGGAGAGATCTTCCAAGATTACAAAAATTGGCTAAGTAGATTGTTCAGTATAAACCCCTCACTGGTCACTGTTGTCAGTGGTGCTGTTGCCCTTTTCTTTTTTCTCCTGAGCTTTGTTCCCCTTCTTCTTTTTCTTCTTTTTCTTGCTCTCCTCCTTCTTGCCAAAGGTTATGAAGTCACTTTTGTCAGTTTGGCTGTTTGGCGGATCCTGACGGATGGAGATGATTGCAGGAGATCCTGGGATAATGAATTTGTCTGGCAACTCACCGGGACCAGGCTGCTTGGAGTTGCCAGGTCCATATTTAAAGGTCCAACTGTTGCTGTTCACGCCAGCTCCCACTGGAGGGGACACCTCGCCAGCCTCTGGTTCTGTGGGGGGGGGGGGGGAATAAAAGTGAACAACAAACCCTTAGTATTGCAATTAAAGTTCTGCAGATAGGTACCATGCAACTGGGATTTTCTCAAAGACCTGGCTCACAGGTAAAGCTAAGGCAAACCATGGTTTTGCACAAATGTGAGATCCTGAGAGATCCTGGAGGGGACGTTGGGACCACTTTAATCTTCCTCTGATCTGTGGCTGAGAGATATGCCATGGTTTGGCTTAATACATCATCCAAACTTAGGCTCATGGTTTGCCTTGCTCTGGACAAACCACAAGCTGTAACCACAGTTTGCTTTACAGTTCATGGTTTGTCTGAAGAAGCCAAATCACAAGCCTGGGTTGGGATAACACACCAAGGCAAATCATGGCTTAGCAGGACCAGAGAAGGAATAAAATGGCCCTGAGCTCCTTTCTGGGAGCCCGCATGCTCGTGTGTTCATCCTAAGCCATAGTTTTGTATTAGAATTATAAGTGAACTGGGTAACAGCATACAGACTTCTCTGCAAATGGCGTCTGTCTTCTCTATTTAATTTAAATAAATATATTATGTTGCTTAGTGCTCTTTCAAAGCACTGGAAAAAGAAAACCACAGGGCATTGAAATGCCAAGTCATTACAAGGGATGCATTGCAAGTTCAATATAATTTGGGGGTGACAATATTTCAGTGTATTAAATAGCTACAAATGTTTGAGGACCTATTCTTATCATACGACATCTTCACAACTGGAATATTGCATACAAATCATATATTAGCAGGACTCATAGGTATCCACTGAATTTCATATTGAATGCAAATTAAAACAAGCCTGATCCTGATCACATTCCCTCTTCCCATGGCTACTATTGACATAACCCGCAAATCATAAAAAATAAGCTTATTAAATGCCCTCACCCCATTTCATGTATGGTCTATTTTGACCCTAAGGATTGAGTCCTAAATGTGTTAACTAGTGAATAAGTCCCACTGAACAGAAGTGTGACTTACTTCTGAGTAAACATGCATGGATACTTTAACTAATGGGTGGGTTGGTTATTCTGCATAGGCTGCAAGGAAATGAATTTGCTCAGATCACTGTGTCCAACTAGGAAACTGTAAAGCACAATTTTTTTCTGGAGTCTGGTGCAAGTAATTTTTTAAAAATCTGCCAGATTTCATGGCTAGTGTAAATAAGTGTCTGAAACAGCAATTCACATATTCCTAATATTTAAAAATAATATTATTCCAGAGTTTCTATTTTATAAAATTTAATCTGCCCATCTTAACCAATGAATTATCTTTCTTTTGATGCCTTTAAACTGCATCATCTAGTGTTTTGGTTTTCTATGGCATTCTTTTGTAATGTCCAGCATCTGACTATTAAGGCTTGCTTTTTGTGATTCCAGTATTCCAGAAACGACTTCAATGCACAAGACCCTGCCATATATCTTCAGTCTTTGTTTTAGCTTAATTAAATCTTTTCTGAGTGGAGATTGTGTGTCCTTCTCACTTCCATTATTCCCCTCACTGCCTTGGAATAATAAATTACACAGCTGAACTTTGTGTGCCTAATACAAATCATGATTCAATACTCCCTCCTGTTATGCAAAATGGAAACTTGTGTTCTGAATATTAAACATATATTTGTCCATAACCTCTGCAATTAGTCCCAACAACCCTGACCTATATACTGTACATAGTTTTTCTGTTTTCGTGTCTGAATGGGAAAGGGTGAGGTTGGAATGGGATACGAGAGGGCAAGAGACAAAAGAGGGAAACCATCAGTCACTAGGACTCGTCCTTAGTGTTCGGCACTGTATGCAACAATGAATAAAACTCAGGAGAAATACTTTGCAATTGTTTCTCTGCACAATTGGCTCTCTGCCACCAGCACCCACTGGGTGGAGAGGATAGCTTTTCTATGTGACACAACAGCAATCTGAATATAAAGAAGAATTCAGAAGTAAATATCTGTTACTTGCAGACCAAAGTCCATTCTATAACCATGTTCTGGTATATCTGTATACAAGGCATTGATTCTATCCTTGTTTCCTGTTTTCCTTCCAGGATTTAAGAGGGAGAAACATGGGCGAGGGCATAGCCAGGCCTCATATTAGGGGGGCAGGCTTTTGTTGGGGGGCGCAGAGCCTCATATTTGTACTGATTTGTATTGATTTAGGGGGAGCAGCTGCCCCTTCCTGTCCTCCCTTGGCTACACCCATGGGGAGAAAAACAAGGATTTGAACAGAATTTTCTAACCTGTAGCTTTGATCATATCCTTAACCATATCTCAGAACAGGGTGGTACCTCATTTTTCTAACAATGTCCATGTAACTTAACAGATGCCCAATATGGTGTGGTTTTTCTCATCTTAAGGATGAAGTACAGTGGTACCTCGGGTTACAGACGCTTCAGGTTACAGACTCCGCTAACCCAGAAATAGTGCTTCAGGTTAAGAACTTTGCTTCAGGATGAGAACAGAATTCGTGCTCCAGCGGTGCAGCGGCAGCAGGAGGCCCCATTAGCTGAAGTGGTTCTTCAGGTTAAGAACAGTTTCAGGTTAAGAATGGACCTCCGGAATGAATTAAGTTCTTAACCCGAGGTACCTGAACAACCAGGTAATAGTTCTCCTATAATCACTGTGACATTACTTGAATATTTTGCAGGAAAATAATTTGCAATAATTAACATACTTGTACTTTTAATAATCTTTTAAAATTTACTGAAAAGCTGAACCAGCCCTTTCAGGAGAACTTTGAGAGTATTCCTTTTTAGAAAGCGACAGATGCCTCCTTGTATTGAAATGAACAGGGAGGAATCCTCACATTTAGAAAGGCTCCATGTGGTGTATTCAGAATTCTAATCTGGGCAGTTACCTGTAAAAGGCTTCAATATTCAGCAGTAACCGCTCCCCACATCAAATGGAGGGCGCCTTTTGCGTGGTTGCGCGCAGCCCCCCAGATCCCTTTGCAGATCCCGGTAGTACGGGCTGGCTTCACCCTCCCCAGGCTGGATACCTGGAGGTCTCTGCCTACCTCAGCCAATCGCCCAATCCCGCCTGGGGAGGCGTTGCCAGGGGATCGGCCAGGTAGGGGGAGGGACAGCCCTGCCCACACAACAGAAGGTGAACCTGCGAAGCGTCAGTTGGCCCCAGAGCTTCTCCCACCCTGCCCTCCCTCAGTTAAGCCTTCTTTTGCAGGTTAACCTCTTCTCCACAGGTACACAGGCGCTGCTACATCATGGTTGCTGTTGAAGGGCCGGAAAGGAATTTTCCTGCACTGGCAGGTTTTGCCTTTCCCGTAGCAAAACGTCACAACCTTGGCAGTTTCAGGCCTTGGGCAGAATCCTTTAGTCTATCTTCCTAAAAGGGGGGGGGCATGAAGCAGTGACCCACACCCCACTTGCGGCGGTGATCCCAGGGTTCCCCATTAAAGGGTCTTGAGGGGAGGCACTGGCCATATGCCGAGAGGTTGTCACTGCTCTCCCCTGCGATGGCGGTGAACATATGTTCTCCAGAGCCAGCCCAATCCCCACACATTCTGGATAACCCTGATGTCTCCCAGATCCCCAGCTGGGAACTGGGAAGGATAAACGCCCAATGGCTGAGCCAAGGTTTCCCTACATCTGAAACTTAATAAAGTTGTGGCCATGTTGTCTTGAGTCATTATTCCACTCGGGGGTTGCCTGGGGTCGGGGGGACTCCGCCTGTCCACGCAATAGAGTTTATATATCTGCCTGACAACATGCCCGTCCCTCTGCTGTGCTTTCCATCCCTTATGCCAGGCATGTCCAAAGTCCATTTCGGGGGCCTAATGAGGACCGCCGGTCAGTTTAATCCAGTCCCTGTGGCAGGTTATATCCTGGGGTAAAATCATAAAAAAAGCTCAACAACTTCAATCCTAAAAAAACTTTGGTCGGCCCTCATGGCCCTTCACTTCATCAAATCTGGCCCTCTTTGAAAAAAGTTTGGACACCACTGCCTTATTCAGATGTCCCTTATCACTTATACCGGCCCACTGCACACATCAGAAAGTGTGGAGGTTGTGGAAACTGCGCTTTGTGGTCAGTGATCAGCAAGGATTATTAGAGCAGAAGAGCTCACAGCCCCCAAACATTCTTCGTCCCCCTCCATGTTTGCCTCTCAGTGGGCAACAGCTACCTATCCAAGCGCCAGGCAAACCAACCTGTCTAACTCATATTTCTGGCATCAGCCTGGCAAGGAAAATGTCTGGAGGGTCCCTGGATGGTTCAGCTGAAAGCTCTCAGGCTGCCTGGTGGTGTGTTGTGAAACATGGAGCACAGTGTTGGGGTGTGGAGGCACATTGGGGTGCAGGCGGACTTTACGTGTGCTGTGAGAGTCCTCCACACACTCCTCTCTCAGTGGGGAAGGCTACAGCAAACTTTCACGTAGTGAATTAATTTGCATAGCAATTAGTGTAAAAGCTGTGGGTGGTGCATGTCATCTTTATATAGATGTGCAAACTTTGATTGCAAGAGAAAAGAACACATAATTCACATAGACTCTTAATCTGGGCTGTATTAAAAAAGCAAAATATTATTTTAAAATGTCCAGATTCATAAAACATGCACATTTCAGTATTAGTTTGGAGCCCAAGACTGTTTCTTATGATTTTGGAGCAGGATCTGAGCTTGTGCTGCCTCCCTTTCATGTCAGTGGGGTGAGTGTGGAAAAAGTACCCCCAGGAATTCCTCCCTCTAATTTCCTTAGCACAGAAATTTCCTTAGCACAGAATTATGTGGGGGGTTTTTCCTGCATGCATGAATTTTGTCCTGGTTATAGGAGTCTCTTCTCCAAAGCACAAAATCTGTAAAACTATCCAGCTGGAGAAGACGAGTTTTGCTTGTAATCCATTTTAAATGAAGGAGAAGTAGAACAAAGCTGACAATACAGAGTGGCAGGTAAAAACAGGCTAGAATTGAGATGTCTCCGGCAGGCAAGATGGCTGCTCACTGAGCACAGCGCAGTGCAATTCAATCAGCAACTCAGTGTTCTGGCAGCAACACCAAAGAGAGTATTTTCTTTCTTCCTTTTTATGCATGCTCTCATATTCTCCACACAGCCCTAAAGCCACAATCTGTCATTTCACAGGAACAGGTGGGGCTCACTCTACATAATGAAAGCTATATTGTAAGCACCATGCTTTGGCTCTGTCTCATGTCCCTCAGATGCTTTCTTTTAATAAATCTTTCTCGTGAACAGGCTCCCCTTTTCAAATGCAACCCCCCCTCCACACACACAACCCCCTGCAAGGAGAATCAGTACTGGCTGACAAGAGACATTTGCATTTGTGTGGCATGTTCAGCCCAGACAATATTCACCTCTTTTCATTCATCAATCCTCTCTTCCTCTTTAAGGATTTTGACATCTAGTGCATCTGAAAGGTCATTCAGATAAAAGCCTTAACCCAAACTACTGCCATTACATCTAAAAGGAAATATTGCTGGTTGCACTTTTTTTTTTTAAGGCTGCATGCACACCATACATTTAAAGCACATAACCTCGCCAGAGAATCCTAGGAACTATAGTTCACCCCTCACAGAGCTATAGTCCCCATCATCCTTAATAAACTATCATTCCTATGATTTTTGGGGGGAAGTCATGTGCATTAAATGTAATTCACACTATGAATAAATACCCTCTCTAAATTTAGGACAGGCTCAATCATTTATCCTAAGGGTCAGTGTAAATTAACATTACTATTTAGTGATGAAATTCTTTAGAACACAGAGTGGGATGGAAGCTGGCAGGGAATTGCAGAGAGAGAACCCCTTTCTCTGCTTTTTTTGTTTGTGCTAAGCAGGCTGCTGCTTTTCCCTCTGGCTGGCATGATGAATATTTCCTGCTACAGAGGAGTCCTACATTCTGCCGACTAATTCTGGAACAGCTCACAGAGAGCAAACACTATTTGCTTGCTGAGAGAAAACTGTGTGTGCAAGAGAGGGAGGGAAATATTCTGTCTCCAAATATTCTGAATGCACTGATTTTCCCTAAACCTATTTTGGATTAAAATATCCATGCAATATTTTGTTGTTATAGTAGCCAAGGAAAATAACAATATTAGAACTGCCAGCAAAAGAAGATATAGAGGGTGGAAATCCACATTCTACCTTGTTAACTACTGTCTCTCAGAATAAGCCAACTCATAATGTTAAGCAGCGATCTAACAAACACAAAAAAGGCAAAGCTTCATTTATGTTATTCACTTGATAGAGATGTGCAACAGGCAAAGTGAAACACAATTTCTCCTGTGCTGCTCGCAAGTGATGCTTCATTTTTAATGCACTGGCTGCACACACCTATACATGCCTCTTCAGAAGTCTTTCGCATTCAATGGGGTTTATTCCCAAATAAACATGTTCTACTATTGCAGCCTAAACTGAGAGGTGCAGCTGCTGAATGACTGTTCATCTTGAGTTTCATGCTCTCAACTGTTGACTGAATTGGGCAACAATTCTTATCACACTACTTGTATTAATTGTCCTACCAGTGCCAGGAAGTCTGTGGTATCAACAACTGTCTTGTAAATTTGTCAGTGTTAGGTAATTCTCACTTTCTCTGTACTTTCTGCATTGCATTTCACTCTGACCTTAGTGCTTATAAATCCCTATGCACACTCCAATCCATATTATATAGCTATAACTGAAGATAACACTTCATGAAACTGACAATGTTTATGCCATAATGAAATAATTAGTCTTTAAATTGCCGAAGCATTATAGGTTGCAACAGACTAACAGACTATGGCAAAACGTGTTATATAATCATTGCAATAAGGTAAGTAAGAATTTGACTATTTCAATGCCATACAGTCACACCTCATGTTGCGTCTGCTTCAGGTTACGTGTTTTCGTGTTGCATCCCACGGCAACCCGGAAGTACCAGAATGGGTTACTTCTGGGTTTCGCCACTCGTGCATGCACAGAAGTGCTAAATTGTGCTTCATGCATGCACAGAAGCGCTAAATCGTGCCGCATGCATGCACAGACGCGGCGCTTCGGCCTGCATCAGTTCCATGTTACGGACAGGCCTCCGGAACGGATCCTGTCCGTAACACGAAGTTCCAATGTATTATAGAATTATAAAATCATAGAATTGTAGAATTGGAAGGGATCCCAATGATCCTCTAGTCCAAACCCCTGCAATGCAGGAATCTCAACTAAAGCATCCCTGACAGATGACCATTCAACCCTGTGGCACCCCACTTGTCACTTAATCATAACTTATTAAACCACTAAGCGAAAGCACATCAAAGTGCAAGTAGATAAATAAAGTACTGCTCCGGCAGGAAGGTAAACGGCGTGCACTGCTCTGATTCGCCAGAAGCGGCTTAGTCATGCTGGCCACATGACCCAGAAGCTGTACACCGGCTCCCTTGCAACCCCAGAGTCGGCCACGGCCACGACTGGACCTAACGGTCAGGGGTCCCATTACCTTTTTAACATAGCTAAACAATGGAACTCTTTGCCCAGCCCAGTTGTCACCTGCACTTGCTCCATGGTAGAGTACATGCTTTGCATGCAAAAGTTCCTCAGTTCATTCCCTGTTATCTCTGCAAGGCTTGGAAAAAAGCCTTGAGTCTGCAACCATAGAAAGGAGACACCACTCCTAAGTAGGGAATACTGAACTAGATGGACCAGTCATTTGACTCTATCTATATAAGTCAGCTTCCTATGTTCCTAACCTTTGATCCTGCAACAGGAGAAACCACAGGCACTATTCCGTGGCACAGCCAGTGGGATAGCCTTTAAAAGATACTCCCTCTCCAAAAGGCCATGTTTCTGTCCTCCAGACTTTGGTATAAAAGAGGTTTTTCAGCCTACCAAGGATCTGACAATAACAGCTCCTTCACCATGGTAGCATAAAATTCTGGCTTGGGGCTTCTGGTCCTGCCAGCCTTAATGGAGACAGACCCCATGACAGCAGGGGATCATTGGCAAACAAAAAACAAGGATGACATAGGGGAAATCATCCTTGCAATTACCACCAGGTACGGGGGGAATGGTCTTCTCTCGCAGTTCATCTGGGTACCTGGCTCTCACTCTGGCATGGAATGTGGGAGGCACAGAGGCGTTGAGTGCAAAAGCACTTCGCCTGGTGAAAACCCTCTTAGGCCACCATTAAGAGGCAGAGGTTCTCCGTATAACTGGATCTTTAATTGGATTTAAAGAACTGGCGCATGATGGGAAAGGGTTGCAAAAACATACTGCCAAATATACCAGCTACACGGATCAAAGGTTTGAATTGAGATAAGATTTTTTTCGGAGTGAGAGTCGGTTGGGAAGCCCATGGTTTATATATATTTATATATAAAGCTTCTTTTATATATTTATGATTTGGCATTCCTCTCCAGAATATAAGATAAATAGATATTTACAAGTGAGGAAGCGACGTTGGAGTAATACTGATATTAACAAGCAAAGAATGGAAACTGTGTGTGATCTGAAATGAAGAAAGGAGGAGGAGGGGAAGTTCAAGTATGACTGTGTTGGAAAGAAAGAATAATTCCCCTCACCTCTGTTTAAAAACAACAGACAAGGAAAAAGAGACTGAGATTTGTATGTGTTACTGATGAAATGTAATCTAAGATAAAGTTTAACTGGGCCATAAATCTCTTGCTGGAAGGAAAAGAATTTGGGGGCTGAGATAAGAACGCTGCAGAGATTCTGAGAGTTGCAAAGGAGTATTAAATCTTCAGTGCGTTCAAAAACTGCCCAGCTTTTCCTAGGCTGAGAGAAAAATAGTGAAGATCCGCCATGGTTTCTAGCAGACTGTCGCCTGTTCCAAGACATCAAAGCAAGGGACAAAGAGAAAAGACCTCTGAGAAACTTCAAGATTCAGTTCTGCCCCAAGCTACGATGGGAGAAAACAACAGAGACAAATATGGACAGAAGGAATCTCCATGGATATAACAGTTTTCACACACAGGGCAGAATAAAGATAATAGTTTGAGTTCCTCACTTGAAGCTTTATAAATTTATATATTCTAACATCACAAATGGAAATCATTGATTATGTAGCTGTTCACTAAGGGATTATTATTATAACTGAAATTACTTAAGATTATGGAACGCAGTGATATAAGATCGGAAATGCACCCAAACCGCCATGCGGGGAGCCACTTTAACTAAAACGTATTAATTGGAAGTTGATTGGCACTTTGTATAATTTGGGAATTAATTGTTATTGTTATAATTTGGCTATTATTGAGGGTAATAAAAAAAAAAAATAAACTTATGGTGCCTGCTGCTGAATTGCTGCTTCTCATACCCCGCCCCCCCCTTCTGCCCTGCATGGAGCAAGGAGCAATAATTGACAAGCCCTGGATGAAATCTAGACATATATAAAAAAACGCTGTGAAAATGCTTTAAAAAAAAAGTTTTGAAAAATATATAGAATTTGCAGTAGCTCACCATCACCATCGCACATTTGTATAATGAACTTTACAACACACTTAAAATGTTTTATTTGCAGCTGTATAGCTGAGTCCCTGGTTTAGTGTGACCTATGAACCAGCACTTGTGGTGTTTCTCCCAAGAAAAGCTTGGGCAGTAAATGAATTCCACTTGTGGTTTGTTTGGAGAGAAACAGACCCTGACGCTAAGCCAAGGTTCATTGTTTCCTGCTCTCAAGCGGACACAGTGAAATGCAAGTGATTCAGCAATGTGCACTAGGATGCTGCTCAGATGTCATGAACTAGCTGGATGCAGAGTAATGGTGGGATAAACCAGCTGGGGAACCACCAAGGGAAGAAGGCTCAGAGCCTGGGAGTGGTGGTGGGACAATGGTGAGTGGTCAGAGGGAGAAGAAGGAAAACACTGGGGAGAAGTGGTAACAGGGCTTAGTGAGCTCGGAGAGTCTGTGGCAGAGAGAAGTCCAGAATCAGAGGCAGAAGCTTAAGTAGGGGAGGAGAGAGGCCAAGAGGCAGAGATGAGTCACAGCTGTTCCCCATCATCCTGCTGGCACAGGCTCCTCTCCAACCTCCTGGTTTCCCAGAACCAGAAGAGGCATGAAAAGGGCATAGGAGAGGTTGGCTACACACAGGCGAAGTCTCTGGTTGCCTGGGGAAAGCCCTGGAGAGAAGGGGCTTTAGATGGCTGTGGGGAGGCAGGAAATTTCAGTCTTGGCAACTGATCCATGGGACAAGACCCACCAGAGATGAGATGACGTGCTCATTAGGACTGATACTCTGCCAAGTCTGTGCAGATTGTGATCTTGCTAATAAAGAGTTAACTCCAACTTGCACAGTGCAATTTACTGCCGGCTCACTCCTGACATCATTCATGGTAAGACATAGACTATGCTGACTGTAACATGCAATGTGAAATATCTTCTAAAACACAAAACAGAATAGGAAGCTCTGAACTAGCAGTCAAGTCTCTGCAATCCCAAACTCCTACTGTCATCAATCTCTAAAATGTAAGGTATATTTTTTATATCCTAGAAACCCACAGTACATTAGAAATAGTACAAACTCACAGGCCAGGGGGCAGAGGGGAACTGTCCTACTTGCATATTATGAAGCTTTCAAAGTATGGAGCAAAATATTGTCACTTGTTTATTGCTGTAGGTCAGAATGCTTTTAAAGGGGCCAGTCTGAACACAGGAATCCCTACAAACAAATACAAATAAATATAGATCTTTATTTTATTTTACACTTAGTGATGGCCTACTTTAGGACACTTTAGTGTTAGATCAATCAGTCCTATAATTACGCACTGTGATGCAGGGCCACAAATTTTATTATTTTGTATTCCTGGATTGATGTGTTGCGGTATGTGTTTGCCATGGCCTTTGACCAAAAGAATTAAATGTATTTATTTACATAAATATGCACACATACATTAATGCATTTCAGAATCCTTGGTATCTTCTTTTTATCCAAACTAAAGTGTAATCAAATTACTGTATAAATAGTGTGTAGGGTATTTCCAGTGTTAACTCAAATGGGTCACTGGGCATGATGAACTTTATATAAACAATGTTTTATTCTGGTCTTCACCCAAAAGAAAGGCTTCTGGAGCAATTTACAAATCAGTACAAACAAGACAGTCCCTGCTCTCGGGCTTATAATAAAAAATACCCAGCACAAAAGGAAACTGGACTGGGAGGGAGGAGGATATAAACAGACTCAGTTACCAATTCTTAGCAACAAGTTCTAATAAGCTGCTAGGGCAGAAGCAGGTCAAGGAGATGAGGGGGCAGAAGCTGCCGATCTCAATGGAATGGTCCTGCATTCCTTTTCCATGACAAGCACCATATGCTTAAATTCCCTCATCTACATACCTAGTAAAGGTGCAGTGACCTTGCCACCTTTTGAATGAGTGAGTCATACCAGCATCAATACCACCAAACACAGAGTAAAATACTGGTGGAGATGACGATGATGAGTTGGTCCCTTGCTTATGTGTGTGCTAATGATGGACCCCAGATTTGTCAAGGTTAAAGATTAAGCAACCCTTCCCCATGTGGGAGCAGAGATCTTTCAATGGAGCTGACGTTCGTCACAAGCACAGAGCTGTCATATCAAAAAAAATTAAGTAAGGAATGGTACAGCAACCCTAGTAAAGAAATGTGCAGTATGTTCTATTATGTTTAGAAGCATAATGCCTGGAGGAAATGTAACTTGGCAGCGTTCCCTGTAGCGTTGCCAACTTTTGAAGCTGCCCCTGTAGCTGTCTCTTAAGCACTAATTTAATCTACAGCCTTGGTCTTCGACTGGGCGCGGGACCCACAAATGGGTTGCAGCCTGATCCAAGGTGGGTTGCAACAAGAGTACTAAAGGTAAAGGTAAAGGGACCCCTGACCATTAGGTCCAGTCGTGGGCGACTCTGGCGTTGTGGTGCTCATCTTGCTTTACTGGCCGAGGGAGCCGGCGTACAGCTTCCAGGTCATGTGGCCAGCCTGACTAAGCCACTTCTGGCGAACCAGAGCAGCGCACGGAAACACTGTTTACCTTCCCGCTGGAGTGGTACCTTTTTATCTGCTTACACTTTGACGTGCTTTTGAACTGCTAGGTTGGCAGGAGCAGTGACCGAGCAATGGGAGCTCACCCCGTCGCGGGGATTCGAACCGCTGACCTTTTGATCAGCAAGTCCTAGGCTCTGTGGTTTAACCCACAGTGCTACCCGTGTCCAACAAGAGTACTACCACCATGTAAAAGCCCTCCAAGCCATTCTGAGAGATGAGGAAGGTTCTGGAGTTTAACTATGGCCCTTCCCCCTTTTTTTAAATGCTAAGGAGCTGGCTGCCATAGGGATGGGAAGGCACAGTGCGGAAAATTATTGCTTCCAGGGTACCAGGTATCTGAGGATCAGATCACAGATACAGCTAGCAGCAATATCCATGGTTGCAGCAACTGGAAAACCATTGTTGAAATCATGGGAATTGCTAACTACTGAATCTGTGATCAGCTGCTTGGGCTGTTTGCATGAATGTATGTCTGGGGAAAGTGGGACTGTTCCCTCGCAATGTGAAATGTGTTGTGTGAACTGAATCTAAATACCACCAAGAGGATTTATTCCAGGGGAAAGTGTGAGGGCTTCACTGCTTCCTTCACCTACTGGAGAAAAGACTATGCCCTTTTCTTCCTGCTCTGGTTGCGTCTGCCATAGTACAGTTAGCGTGCAATATTAAGCAGGCATTGTATTCCTCTGCTCCTAAGGGAGTTGGAATGGCAGTGAACAATTGAGAGGCTCCTTGGGGAAGCTGGCCCATCTGTTGCTCTCACTTTCAGAGTCTTTGCCCATTTATTCCCCCTTACAAAAGTAAAGTTAAATCTATTGGTGTGTTGTATAGCCAAGACACTATTGTGCATCCGTGGTCTGGGTGCACTTGCCTCATAGCACAATAACAATATATGCGCACATCAATAAAAGTTTTCTAAACCCCATTTCAGAATCACATTTTCATTATTTCACTTAAAAATTATTTAAATCTTCCTTGGTTCCTTTCCTTGTACCTAAACCACTGGGTTTTTTTCATTCCCTGCCATATAATTTATATGGGTTTTTCTCTGCTTGAATGAACAGTTCACATCTTTAAAGCTACTGTACTTTCAGAATTTCAAGAGATGCTCATTTTCTCTTCTTGGTTCTCTCAATTTATTTTCCTTCATTTATTTCCCCCCTGTTGAATTAAATTTTAGCATTCACTTCTCCATGTTCCTTGATTCCTAGTCATCCCCCCCACCCATTTCTATTTTTCTGACCCTGTCCTGTTTATCACACATCAACCTCTCTCTTTGTGTCTCTCTCTCACACACACTGTTTATGATCTCCTGCCCAAAACCTCTTCTATTGACTTTTTGTCTCATCAGAGTGACTTTTCCATCCCATAGGGCACTGAAGCCATGTCCTAATTAATGTTTGCTAATGAAAACGATGGCTTCTAGGTAGGGTGCTCTAGGTTCAGCTAGGCATTCTGCAAAACCATTGCTTTGATCCATTGTGCTATTGTACTGCTGTGCCTGTCTTTCTTTCTTTCTTTCTTTCTTTCTTTCACAATGTGTACAGTCCAGCTCCACATGGCAATTCCTCAGTCAAGGGGAGATTTAGACCTAGTTCTTGGGCTAAGTTTGATGTGACAGGAGGCAGCCAGATTTATTCTTCACATTTCTGCCCCACTGTTGTATAAAGTCGAGGGTGTCAGGCTGCTTCTGTAAAATGAACTTTACTCTCAGCACAGGCTACATACAGACCATACATTTAAAGCACCCTCCCCACCAAAAAAAGGATCGTGGGAACTATGGTTTACGGCTAAGAGAGCTACAATTCCCAGCACTCTTAACAAAACACCATTTCCAGGATTCTTTCTTTGTGAGAGAAAGGTGTACTTTAAATAGAGGGTGTGTACGCAGCCTCAGTTCAGATACCAGTAGTGAATTGTTCTGTGTGTGTGTGTGTGTGTGTGTGTGTGTGTGTGTGTGTGTGTGCTTGTGTGGTAGAGGACATGACTGAAGCTACAAAGCACTAGAGATATGGCGGGATGGTGGGGTCACCTTCTTACACCCAAGTACAATATTTAATGTTGGAATTAGGCCCCCTACCAGCTCCATTTACACTTGAATGGAGCAGAAAAAGGAATGAGCAAATGAGCCTGCTCTCATACTCTCCTCTCCTTGACTCTTGCAACAGGGAGATGAGGTGGAGAGGCTGAGCCTCAGCTACAATATTTCAGGCTACAAGTGGCTGCTCACACAACTGAATGCTCCTCTGCAGGAGAGAAATCTGCATTTTCCCTGTGAAATCTGGGATTACTTTGGCAAAGTGCCAGAACTGGATGCTTCCCACAATATGTGACTCATGTTACATCAGCCATTTTCTATCACCTTCTGTTAAAATCTCATCCTGTTATTATTGCTTTTATGAATGCACTACAAACAAAGCCAGTAGGAGACCGATTCAGCTTAATAAGGTGGGGGGAGAGTATTAATTAGATGGGATGGGGAGATGCTAATGCTAACTGATGAGCCTGATGGAGACATACCATATTATTCTCCCTCCCCAGCTCTTTCAAACTTGGTGGGCTAAGTCAACATTATCCATTGTTAGCTTTCTGCTCAAAATTGTGTGGAGAGAGACAAAAATTCAGTTTTGTATGTATAGACAGAGGTGTTGGGGGGGGGCAAAAGTGTCCTCAATTTTCAAAGGGGGTATACTAGGTAGCTGTGGCAGCAGTTTCAAATGTTATTTATTATCATAGCCATAAGAGGTTGTGGAGGTCAGCATAACCATAAGAGGTCTGCCACATGCTGGGAGAGATTTCATTCTGCCCCCCCCCCGCATGCCGCCACAAAAAGATGCCATATTGTGACTTCATTCCCCTCCACAATCTTCATAAAGTATCACCAACTTATGAACAATTATATCAAGGAGGCAATGGGAAGAGGGTGAGAGAAACATGAAATGTAGAAGGGGGGGGGAGAAGCTGCAGCTGGTGCTACCTAGCCTGCCCCCCCCTTTAAAAAAATATTCAGAATATATTGTCCTGCAACTCACTACCTATGAATAGGCGGGAAATTTGGGGGGAGTGGGGTGCGAGGAGAAGAGACTTTTCATTCAGCTTTAGAAACACACAACTAGAAAGATTCCATTGAAATCCCATTTATACTCATAGGCAATGACTGGCTCTTAGAACATTATACAGCTTTCTCTCCAATTACTCTAAGAGCTTAATTCTTTTTCATAATCTGCTATCCTAAGGTAATAATCCTTTATCTCTACTCGGTCTCTGATTTGTTAATGCAATCAAGGGGTCAATACAAGACTGTAGCGGGTTCAGAACATGGTAAAACCCTGAGACAGTTAAACTGAGCCTTAGGTCTGTTTTGTCACCCCACAAATTCATTTATTTATGTCGTAAAATTTATACACCACACGATTGTAAAAAAACAACAACCATTTACAAAAAAATAAAACGATAAAATCAAGAAAAAATTACAGCCATGCTTTGAAACATAGAAAAGTTAAAATACTAAAAGAGATTAAAATCACCTCAACTTTCCAAGCAAATGAGGATTTGTGTATAGAACAGGCTTCTTCTCATCACTGGAATAAAGAGTCCTGGGCTCAAAGTAGGCAAGAAGCACATGTATCACCGTGGTACTAATCCTATGATTGATCAGCACTGAATTACAAGAACACTCCTCTTGAACAAGATATATGTATGGCCAATAAGGTGGTGGTGGGGAGAATAGAATAATCTTGCTTTACGACTGGTGGCATTGGGCTGGGCTTACTGACTTATTACATTTGTGTCCTGCTTTTCTTCTACGGTGGCAATTGGGGTGGCATCATATCATTGTGAGTTTCCTGAATGGCCTCCTAAGTGCATCACATACTCCTGCCCCTATTGTACAGTTTCCCATAATCCAGGCAGGGCATCAGCATCATTTCAGATTTTGGGGCATTGCGCCATTGTGAATTCAGAGCAAGTTTCAAAAGCCTACTTTTGGAACATGTTCAAGGTTGAACTGTAGCACAGCAGTGAATTTAAGACATAAGTTATGAAATTCACTAGTACATGTGTGGTGATCAAGCTGTTGGGCTGGAGGACTTTTGAAAGGATTGTGTAGCTTTCAGTAGTTATTCAACACCTATTGGCTGCATGATTCCAAAACAGATGTTCCAGATTCAGAGGTAGCATGTTTCTGGAGACCAGCAGTGTTGTTCCCATGCTTCTTTGCTGAGTTTGCTTTAAAATTCTGCCCCAAGGCAGAATTGCATGTGTTCTGAAACACAGAAAGTTTCTTTGCAATTGTTATTAGCAGAAACTGCAATCATTATTTTTACATTATTTTTTCTTTGTAAGTTATTTTTGTTTGTGCATGAAAGAAAATACAGAAAAAGGAGAGGGTGTGCATTTGGGAGGGGGGCAATGTTTACAAAGCTGGTCGTCCAAAACTGCAAACCGTAGCTGGAGATGGCTCAGTTGCCTTCAATTGCACCACTGACACATAAATCTCCATTGGAAACAAGACCAAGTGAAGATGACAATTCTAAGCACACTTCCTTGGGAAAGAGCCTCATTGTGCTCTGTGCCACCATCACAAAAATGGGATTTATGGGCAAAGTCCAGGGATCTGGAGTTGAGGATTCCAAACTGATAATCTGGCAACATTGTTGGGTCCCCAAACCATCAATATATACGGTGCTTTACATAGTATTTTGAGCAAAAAGGATAGGTGAGCTGGTGTCAGCATAGTGGCTAAGAGACTGTAGTATAGGCCAGGAAGTTCCTGGTTTGAATTTACCATGAAATCATGAGGTGGTCTCCTCCAAACTACTCACCTTTTCAGCTCAACTTCTCAGTATAAGGAAATTACTTGCCTACCTTATATGGTTGTTGTAAGGATTGCAACGAGATCAATTACGTGTTTTAAATTCCTGAAAGCACTATATAAATGCTATGTATTACAATTTTCATTTCAAGGGGGAAAAGTGAGTCAAAACCAGGTCTAGGTCTGATGGAGCCTTTTGAAAACAAAGATGTTTCAGTACACTTGGGCATCTAATATATCACAATTTTACAACTGTAATTGGAGAAAGGTTCTTTGAAAGTCATCACCTCTCAAACTACAAAAGCTTTTAGCTTTGCCATGTGGGGGCAAGATGTCAGTGTTCTCAGCTTGACAGGGAGGAAATGCAGCAAAATTACAACCTACTACAATATGCATGTTGCTTAATGCTACTTTCTTGTGACAGATGCATTCACACACACACACACACACACACACACACCCCCGATGGAGCTTAAGCTACCAGAGGGAGGGAGTAATTCGTTTTTAATTTTTCTTGCAATACTTTCTAGTACAGTGAGAAGTAGACCAAGGATGGCCAAAGCAGGGTACTCCAGGTGTTGCATCTCCAGCCCCCATCATCCCTGACCACTGGGCATGCTGGCTGGGACTGCTGGGAGTTGGAAACGAGGAACATTAGGAAGACACCACATTGCTACCCCTCAACTAAACAAATGTATATATATTTCACACATTCCTTATTATATCAATTTCATAAATTACGATGTCCAAAGCTTGTGCCTTTCCTCTACACAGCTAGAGCAGAGCTATATATGTTGTTTGCTAAACCAAGGCAATGTCCTTGAGGTTTTTCAAGAGGCTGATTTAACTGCAAATGAAGCCTCTTTATAATGGGGGTCCTTTGTTAGGGAAAACACATAAATTTATGTCCTTCCTGTAAACTGTCATCACCTCTGCTTCAAAGACCTCTTAATACAGTTGATTTTTCACATTCAGAGATATCTCTTCCTAGATAAAATACATTGGGCAGTGGTTCCCAATTAGGGGTCCAGGGACCCCTGGGGGTCTGTGGAACGCACTCAGGGGGCCTGCGGCCCCATCCCTTGCCTCCCCTCCAACTAATTTTTTGTCGTTTTTGCATGGTAATATCACATTTTTTATGGTCTGTTTTAGCACTGTGTGATTTTTCAATATGTTGGCCAAAATTGATTTTGAAATCACACCACAATAACGATCATCTCAGCCAATGCTCTGCAGCTTCCTTTCTGGGGTATTTCCTTTCTGATTATGAAGGAAGTGGCCCTATGTTTTCAGGAAACATGTTTTCAGTTTCAGTTCTTGTCAATTTCAGCTGGGTGATTGATTTTAATCCAAGATTTTAAAAGTGTTTATACTCCATTGGTCAAGCCCCTACATGTTCCTAAGAAAAGAGACATAAACCAATCCACTTAAAGGGAAGCTTTCTGGATTGGCACATTTCCCAAGGGAGTCTCGCCTCCTCTCTCATAACAGACCCGCCCTCCACCATTGATTTTCTCTGCTAAACTGTAGTTAGTGGCAAAGCATTTTGTCTTCATCTAGGATGGCTAAATGCCTGTGTGCTTGAACTTATCAGAAGACCTAGGAAAACGTATGGTAAAAATTCTGCTCCTCTAAACATGTTTAGCTTCAGTTGTGTCAATTCAGCCTAATCTGCCTGTGTTTTAGCTTAGAAATGCACAGGAATTCATTCATTCATTCATTCTGTCTTTAATCCAAAGGTCTCAGGGCATATTATTTTATTAAGTTTTTGTTTCTAAACGAACTCCTGCTTACTAATACACCATCTATACCTATTTTGACATTATATTTCTGGATTTTAGAACGTTAACCATTTGCACAGTGTTTTTGCAGTGCTTCAATTTACAGGTGGCTGGATCTCAGCTAGGCCTAAACATTTGCACAACCTGCTTAGGGAGATCTGCAATAAATGAAGGGACTCTGAGAACATGGGCACTGAATCCCCAGGCATGTCCCAAGAGTAATAAGGTAACCCATGGCTTCAGATTCTCAGCATAAACACACGTAGAGCCGCCACCGCCTATTAAGTGAATGGATATCTATTTATATCACTTCCTGCTGACATAAAGGATAGTGAGCACTTCATTTGAAATCATACATAATCAGCAACTGAAATTTCAGTAACGGCTTTGAAACGTGCAAGAAATACAGTGATAGTAGATGGATCCACTTCATACCCAGAGAGAATATAGCTAACGGGTGTTTAAGGAACCTATGTGTTAAATGACTAGGCACATGTGATAGTTATGTATGTAGACAGATGTAGCAGCACTACTAATGTCTGCTTATATAAAGAGAAATGAGCCAATTGTGATAGCTGAAGGAAGAGGTCAACTGCAAGTTAAAGCTTTTTCAAAATTGTCTGTTGAATAGGGAAATAATGCTTTTTATCGTAGAGCTGGAAGGGATCCCAAGGGTCATCTAGTCCAACCCCCTGCAATGCAGGAATCTCAACTTAAGCATCCATAAAGCAAACCTCCTGAGCAGAGGAGACTTTGTCAAAAGCCTGACTGAAATCAAGATAAACCACATCCACAGCATCCCCCTGATTCACCAAGCTTGTAACACTATCAAAAACTTCTGATAATGAAAGAGACTCTGGCATAAGATGAGACCACCAAGTTAACTATACAGTGGAACCTTGGTTTTCGAACGCCTTGGTACTCGAACATTTCAGCTCCTGAATGTTGAAAACCCGGAAGTAAGTGTTCTGGTTTTTGGAAGTTGAACGGACTTCCAGAACAGATTACGTTTGAGAACCAAGGTACCACTGTACAACCTTTAGAAGACATCTTAAGGCAGCCCTGCATAGGAACTTTTTTGATGTTTCATGTTTTATTATGATTTTTATATATGTTGGAAGCTGCCCAGAGTGACTGGCAACCCAGTCAGATGGGCGGGGTAAAAATAATAAAAATATTGTTGTTGTTGTTAAATATACAGATCATATGTATGTAGATCAGAAATGATTTGGGGGGACTGATTGCATGTTTTAATTTGGATTTTCTGTATTTTTTAAAAAAATCAATAGGTCCTCTGGCTACCTAATTTGTTATTCCACAGGCTAATTTGTTGGAAAAGCATTGCATTTTCATGACAAGGAGCATACTGATTTTGCTGCATGTGTCCTGTATGGTGCATTAAAGGTACCTGATAGCAACTAAAATCACTTACAGTGTAGCAATATTCTGAAGTGTGGCAGAAGTGGTTTTCAACACACATTCACTGCATTCCAAGGCAGTTCTTTTCAGGACAGCGAATGTGGGTGCAAATCACTTCCACCCCACTTAAAATTTCTACTCCCCTTTAGACATTCACCTGAATATGTAAAGGCTAAAGTGGTTGGTGGGGCAGGGACACGCACCATGTGGGCTCTTCTTTAGACTACAAAGAAGTTATAATCTCTGCATCCCTCCGGTCAATATGTAAAGGTCCAAAGAGCAGTATCCATCTACTGTGGCCCATCAGTGCAAGGATTTACAAAGTGTTCTAGGAGTTTCTCCAAACCTCTGGGGCAACCCAGCCAGATGGCCAGGGTATAAACTTTTTTTACAATAATTGAATAAATAATATAAGCACAAGGAAGTCCCCAGGACATCTTCTCTATGAATATGGAGGACTGGGGCAGGCCATTGTTATATCCCCCAAATACTCCCCAAGCATGCAAAAACATCCCTATGTTATGCGAGCAAAGGTCTGCTATAGGAATCTGGGACAGTCACCCTATAGTTTTCCTGCAGAGATCATGGGTTCCCTACCAAGAATGCTAAGAGGAGAGCCGGCCACTCCTTTCCTATTACAGTGCTTATTTGTGACATGGAGACTTGGCTCCGTCTCATATCAGAAACTGGCACAGCCCTATCAACCTCCTTTCACATGCATTGTCCAGGAGGCAGGAGGCGATCACAGGATTATGCTGTATTCAGGCCAGTGATTTAGAGGTGAAAGGCTTCATATCACTTCAGCTGTTGAAATCTCCAGAGGTTTAAGCTATATAGAGCACACACACAGCAATTCCAGACAGTGTTTTCCAGAATAGCTGGAGAATGGCCGCTGTACCGAAATAACAGTCTGCCACGTACAAATGGAGCTTCCAGATGAGAATGTCATTGCCTAATCGGGAGAAACATATTCAGGTCAAGTGCCAGATGCAGTTATGCAGGGGAATAGTGTAGGTCCTTGCAGCCTTTGGGGAAGGAGCATAATACCAGACTTCTAAAAAAGAATGGAGAGGCGTCTGCAGATATCAGAGGAAGAAGCCTTTGGTAGATTCCCCGCCCCACCCCCCACCCTGTGTTGCAGACCATGATTATTACCTAGTCCTGTAATTCTGGAGTGCAAGCTTTTCTCCTGGAGAAAGGAGAACATTTTTACTTTTCACAGCAGATTGCAAATTGTATTTGCTGCAGAACTTAGATGTGAGTCCCAGAAGAGCTGCCCCCTGCATTGCAGGCCTTTTCACACCTGGCCGGGGAGGGCGGGAACCTGACTGACTTCAGCTACAAAAGCTGAGGCTGCTGAACAGACTCTTGGGCTGGGGGGCTGGTTGGGGGGTTGGTTGGGGATGGGTGGGTATTGTTGCTGTTTTTTTTTGTTTTTTTTGTTTTTGATCTTGTGAATTGCATAGAAATGGTTCTATTTAGTTGGGTATTTTTTAATGTTTTATTTACTGTTTATGTCTACTGCTTATGTTATGTTGTTTGTATTTTTATGTTGAAATAATGTAATTTTATTCACGTTGTAAGCCGCCTTGAATTATAGATAGGCGATATACAAAAAAAATTAGGTAGGCAGGTAGGTAGGTATAGAAACTTATATTTGGGGTGAGAATGTGGGATCACACCTGTGATCAAAGTGCATGACTGCAAGTCCAATCATTTATATTGAATGAATGAATATACAGTGGTGCCCCGCAAGACGAATGCCTCGCAAGACGGAAAACCCGCTAGACGAAAGGGTTTTCCGTTTTGGAGGTGCTTCGCAAAACGAATTTCCTATGTGCTTGCTTCGCAAGACGAAAATGTCTTGCGAGTTCCTGCGGGTTTTTTTTCCTTTTTCCCCCCTTTTCCCCATGCCGCTAAACCGCTTATCAGCTGATGGCTAAGCCGCTTAACAGCTGAACGCTAAGCCGCTTATCAGCTGATCGTTAAGCCGCTTATCAGCTGATCTTTAAGCCGCTTAACAGCTGATCGCTAAGCCGCTTATCAGCTGATCCGCTAAGCCCGCTAAGCCGCTAATACTGTAGCGCTAATCCGCTAAACCGCTAATGGGCTTGCTTCGCAAGACAAAAAAACCCGCAAGACGAAGAGACTCGCGGAACGGATTCTTTTCGTCTTGCAAGGCACCACTGTAAAATAGAATTTAGATTGCTTCTGTACTGATGCTATTATTATTGTTGTTATTATTGTTATTTTTATTGTTATTGTTATATTTGTGTACTGCCCTACCCCGAAGCTCTCCCACCTCTTGCAGAGCGCCTCCTCCCTGCTGTCCCCCAAGCTTGTGGGGCTGGCAATGGGGAGAAGCGCTGCTTTCCCCACCGCCAGCCTCCAAAGCAGGTCGGGGAATAGCGGGATGGCAGCGCTCCGTCTCCCCGCTGTCCCCCGAGCTAGTGGGGCTGGCGATGGGAAGAAGTGCACTTCTCCCCATCGCCAGCCTCCAAAGCAGGTCTCCGCAAGAGGTGGGAGAGCTTCGCGGTGCAGGCAGCTCTCCCACGGCTTGCGGACAGCTTCCTGAAGCCTGGAGAGCAAGAGGGGTCGGTGCGCACCGACCCCTCTCGCTCTCCAGGCTTCAGCGAAAGCCTGCATTCGCCCCATAGGACGCACACACATTTCCCCTTCATTTTTGGAGGAGAAAAAGTGCGTCCTATAGGGCGAAAAATACGGTATATACAGTCATACCTCTGGTTCCAGACGCTTCAGGTTGCGTTTTTTCAGGTTACGGACCACTGAAACCTGGAAGTACCGGAATGGGTTACTTCCGGGTTTTGGAGGTCACGCATGTGCAGAAGCGCTAAATTGTGCCTTGCCAATACAAAACCTGCGCATGCGCAGGTGCACAGCTGCGGGTTGCAAACGCTGCATGTTGCAAACGTGCATCCCGCATGGATCATGTTTACAACCCAAGCGTCCACTGTATAGGGTGTGAGTTACGGGTGTTCAGTAGCCAGTTGCCTAAACCAAACAAGAAATGAGAAGCCAAAATGGACAGATCTGCCCATCTCTGTTTAGTTAGATGTTTACTTTATTTGAGAGGGGCTATTGCTCACAGCTTAGAGCAAAAATTCAGTCCCAGACATATCTGGTTGAAAGGATCTCAAGTAGCAGGACTGGGAAAGCCCCCTCCCTGAAGCCTCGGAGAGTCAGAATAAGCAGCAGTGGGCTACTGGGCAATTGTCTGATTCAGTAGACTGCAGCTCTAGAGCAGAAAGAAAACAAGCTTCCTCCCTCTGCCATGTGACAGCCCTTTAGATATTTGAAGATGGCTATCTTCTCTCTTCTCTATCTCATCTTCTCCAGGCTAAACATACCCAACTCCCTCAACTGTTCCTCATAAGGTTTGGTTTCCAGACCCTTGATCATTTTGGTTGCCCTCCTCTGCACACTTTCCAGCTTGTCAATATCCTTCTTAAACTGTGGTGCCCAGAATTAGACACAATATTCCAGTTGTGGTCTGATCAAGACAGAAGAGAGTGGTACTATTACTTAACTTGATCGAGACACCATACTTCTGTTGATGCAGCCTAGAATAGCATTACAGAAATCGCGCAGCTTCAGCGCGGCGGCAGCGGGAAGCCCCATTAGCTAAAGTGGTACCTCAGGTTAAGAACAGTTTCAGGTTAAGAACGGACCTCCTGAACGAATTAAGTACTTAACCTGAGGTACCACTGTAGCTCCCCCCCCCCCCCCGCTGCATCACACTGCTGACTCATGTTAAGCTTGTGGTCCACGAAGGCCCCTAGATCCTTTTTACATGTCCTACTGGCAAGCCAGGTCTGCCCCATCTTATATTTGTGCAGCTGTTTCTTCCTGCCTATGTGTAGAACCTTACATTTGTGCCTACTGAATTTTATTCTGTTAGTATGGTCCCCATTTCTCCAATCTTTTAACGTCATTTTGAATCTTAATTCTGTCCTCTGTGACATTAGCTACCCCTCCCTGTTTGGTGACCTCTGCAAATTTGATGAGCATCCCCTCAATTCCTTCATCCAAGTCATTTAGAAAGATTTTGGACAACAATGCGCCCAGATTCATCTGGCATGATTTGTTTTTGAGAAACCCGTCAGGGGCTGCTGTGACCACCTACATTTGTTCTCAAATGGACACACTGCAGGCAGGCCAAAGCAAAATCAATGAGTTTTTATCTTTGGAATGAAACCATTTTCTTAAGAAGTGCTTTTCAGGTGCAAAATAAAGTAACAGTAAAGATTGTGTGTGGAGTACATAGAGAAAACAAGTACTCAGTCTATTGATAAAAATGCTGTGTTTACATAACCACGGGAGCTGGATGTGTGCTCAAACCATTTCCACTGCATTTCAGAATGTATGTCCATCTTTGCATTTCCCATTCCCTAGGTTAATTTTTGGATTTAACCACAAGAGAGAGTGTCATCAAGCTCCCACTAAGTATCGCCCTTGCTCAGGCAGCTACATCTTGCTCCCACTAACCTGGAACATGCCCTGTGCAAACTCCCACAAATAAGTCATTGCATCCAAAGGAGACAACTTTAGAGACATTTCAAAATCTGCTGTCATTATGGATACAGAAAGCTGAATTCCCCAACTGGTGTTATTAAAAAAGGCTCGCAGTCAGGATTGACCCCATTTTTAATCTAAAAAGGACCCAGATGCAGCTTTCAGCTATCTGCAACAAATGCAATCTTATATGAGCCTCTCTTGGTTATTGTGTGATGAAGAGAGAGAAAAGATAAAAGAGCAATGAAGTTAATTACAGAGCCTCATACATTCATATTCTTCACTCTACATTATTTTGCAAATGCTAAAAAGAAAGTGTCTAGAAAACCATGTTTCCAAAATGCTGTTTTCTAGCTATGCTAGTTTATTGCTGTGCAACCATGCGCCACACCTCCCTTCTTTCAGGGTCTGCAACTATAAACAGTTTTCCTGCACAACCAACACAGAGCATGCAATGGAAGCACAGTCTTCCATACGCATTGCATATCCAGCTGCACTTCAAACATGACCTGAATTTGACCTCCAAGGGACTCAGGCTCCCGGACCCATTAGCTACCCTGTTAAGACTGCCAATTATTATGGCTTATGTGAGAGTTTCCTCTCATTTGACTGCATGTCTGCTGGGAGCCAGGCTAGGCTTAGGAAATGTTCTGAAGTCGCATCATGCAGCCTCCTGCTGACGCTCAGTGCGCTTGAGCACAGCCTAGATGGGATGGACCAAATGTCAGCTGCTCTGAGCTCTCTGGGAGGGCACGGGGCTGATTAAACCATCTATGGCCTTTTAAACTGTGTGTGTATATATAATGGTTTTTGTTCGTTATTATGACATGTACTCTTGTTTTTTATACTGTAAGCCGCCTTATGGTCTTTGGATAAAAGGCAGTATAAAAATTAATGTAAATAGGGGGCTATCCCCTCATTTTTCAGTGATCCAGGAATGAATGGTCCCTTTGACTATCTGATAGCTTTAATGTTCATTTCCATCACATGAAGCATAGCTTGAAAGGACATTCCCAAGAGCCTCCTCTGTTGTAATGGAGCTCAGGCTCAAAAGATATCTAGATAACTGTCCCACATTCCTGGCAGCAGGTGGCACTGGTGTGGAAGCTCTCTCTCTGCAATCTAGAAAATGCATATGGTGCACTGCCCTCCATGTGCTAATATGGTTTGGACAGCTTGTCTTAAGTATGGAAACTGGGTGCCTTCTAGTCTTACATAGTTATACCATTGCTGATGTTGCTATCATTTAAGTGTTTAATAACCATATACAGTGGAACCTCGGGTTGCGGAGGTAATCTGTGACGGAGGCACGTCCACAACCCACAGCGTTCATAACCTGCAGCGCTGCATCTGCACATGCACATGTCGCGATTTGGCACTTCTGCACATGCATGAAGCGCGATTTAGTGCTTCTGCGCGTGCGCAAGCGGTGAAACCTGGAAGTAACCATTCCGGTACTTCCAGGTTTCCCGTGGTCCACAACCTGAAAACGCGTAACCCGAAGTGTCTGTAACCCGAGGTACCACTGTATGCCTAATGTGTCTATTCCTCTCTCTCTCTCTGTCTCTCTCTCACACACTCACTCTCTCTCTCTCTCACACACACACACACTTTTCCAACTGCTGTCCAGCTGCAGTTTCTTTTTTCAATTGCACATTTTGTGTCCAACTGCACACTAAAAAAAAACAAAGAACTTTTGGATCATTTTGGATGATTCTTTCTACCTGCATGTGTAACAACTGCTCCCGATTTTCTCCAGTACAAACAGAAGCAATTTCCACGGCAGTTTACAAGGGCTGGATTCCGCCCCCCCCAGCTAATCCATTTTCCTTCTTGGCTGTGTGTGCATGCTAGACAGAGATGCGTTTAGGGATACATGAATCTAATTGCATAAGACAACAACAGAGACAGTGCACTCTGACACATATTCCCTCTACAGCCAGAGCCTTGGTTTTCTGGGAACTAAATCCCCATAACGAAGGGCACATTGCTGAGTGCTGTTGTGACTGCTCTACATCCTTCATTACGCCCTCAGAGTGCACACGAGTAATGACTGAATTGCTCAGAGTTTAAAGATTTCACAGCACATGCAGCATCTCTAGGTCAATGTTGTGCAAATAATTAAGTTATGCACTAGAGGCAAAACAGAAAAGCAGTACTGCAGACTGTTGTTCTCTGCCAAGCACGCCCTAACTCTGCTGTGGTTTGCAAGCAACAACAGCAAATCTTGTACAGAAATAATAGGTGAGGCAGAGGACAGGTGCATTTTTAATTCCAGCAAGAATACAAAGGAGCTTCCATGTCATTACATAAATTACTGGAAGAGAAAGCATACTGGATGGCAGAAGCCAATCACTAATCGGAAGCCTCTGATTAGCCTATCAAATATAAAATGTATGTAGTCTATCTTAACATAGCACAACCAAATTGGTGTTTAAAGCTCTTATAACAACAGAGTTGTGGCACAATCTACTAGAAAATTCTCTAAGGGGTGTGAGCAGAAGAACCTTCAGGGGGGGTCAAGAATCTGTTCTCACCCCCCTTAATATGTATTGACTTTTTTTTTTATTGTGCAGATATAAAGTAGGCACTGGGCTGGTGACCCCTGTTCTAGAGCCTGGGTCCATTTTAGGTCTCCATCCTGGTTTTTCTAATTTAAATTCCTTCTCCTTGCTTCAGATCATGTTCTTTAACTCTAACTCAATTTGCCAAGTTTAGTTTACTGATAGGCAACCTTTCAATTCCTTCTCCCAAATTCTTCGCAGATCAGGTTCAGTTTAAGTGTACGGATCCCTTAATTTGTTAGGATTGTTTCCTTCCTCAAGTTTCAATTTCTCAAGCAGCACTGAAACTAAAGCAGAAAGCAACCATTTCACAATCACAAAGCACATTTTACAAAACACAAAATGGCTGAATCGCTTTAATTCCTTCACAGTGTGGTTGCACAAGTTTTGAGAATTTGATAAAGGTCACCCAAAATGTTTAAAATCCTAAAATGTTCTCCCCATGTGAAAAGGTAAGATGGTAAATATGTGGTGGAGAGAAGGTATTGTAATGTCTTTTTAAAAACTGCTCAATTTAATTTTAAGTTCAAAAACATTCTAAAATGAAGCAATATATGTGTGTGAAGTGGGAATTAAGGCAGAAAACCGTAGCTGCTGCCTTGCGTGAGAGCAACAGATTCCTTCGAAGTAGTGACCGCACAACCCCGTGCTTAGTTGATTACTCTTGACAAGATAACCACCCAAGGAAGAAGAGTTTTCTTCCACTTTGCACTTAATGGCGCCCCGAGGAAACAACATGATTGAGATACATGATGTCCACATTGCACTGGGCAGCTGATTACTATCAGGCATGCAAAGCATCAAATAAGGCCATTTACTGGAGTCATTTTCAGGTATTCTGCCCACACACCGGAGTGACCCCCACCCACTGAAGCTAAGTGGGGCTGTGCAGTGGGGAGCCTGGCTGGCTGAAGCGGCCGGCACCGCCCTGCTTTAAGGGGTGCACACACAGCGCCCTGCAAGCCCAAGTGATGTAAAGGTAGACAAGGCCCCACTTCCTCAGCCCTTTTAAAATTTCTTAACAACTGACTGGTTAAAAGAGTTATAACCCTGTGGGTCGGGGGCAGGGGGAGAGTTAAATTCATGTAACCAAGTCTCTTGCAAACATATTATATCAAATTTCTGGAGTATACAAATGAAGTCCTTAGCCACCTTCTTATTATCCCACCAGGTTCCATGAAAGAATGCTAAGACCTTTCTGGATGTTTTGTAGTCAGTTATGGCACCTTAGAGGAGAGCTGAAGGTATCATAATTTGCTTTTCTGTAATTACCCCCAGACCTGGGCTTATCTGGAACATTTGTTAATGTTTAATCGCTTTGATTTGTGGAAAGTGGATTGCTAGCAGGGTAGGAGTTCTGGGCCTCTAACTTGGGCATATTTCTTCCAATACCTGCATTTGGGCCAATATGATGGTTTTCCCCTTCTTGTCTATTGGAGTGTATCTGGATATTATTAGGACAGGTGACAAAGGCAGGAGTCTTGTGGCTTGAGAACTTACTGCTCCTTCCTCTCAAATGGCCTTTTCCAGACTACAGTTCCCTTTCTCTAGTAAGTATGGGGGATAGATATTTAACACTGGGTGGGGGCATTATTCAGGCAATGTTTTAACTGGAATAACAGCTCTCTGTCAACAAAAATATGACTTAGAGACCAAAATTTGTCCCATATATCAGGATTCCAAAAGGTTAGTTCAATACTGCCTCTCCAGTCTCAATTAGACAGGTATTTATAACATAAATAAATGATTTCCTAAATCTGGAAGCTGAGGTTGCCTGGGAGCATATACATCATCTCCTAACAAGTGTGGCTCAATTGACCAGGTAGCTAAGCTTTTACTTGGAAAAAGGCTTCTCCAGCCCCTTACTTGCACTCTCACAATGTAAAGGACCATGGCTGTCCATCTTGCCACAATCACTTTCCAGTTACCTCCACCTCCCCTGCTGAGTCACAATAACCCAGCATAAATTTCCGAACTAAATTTGGCAGTGGCTTTCTGGACGCTTTAACTGAAGCACCACAGGTCTGTGCTCATGTAATAACCATGTTAAAACTGCAGAGTATCCTTAGGATGAGATGGTCTTCTAAGTTTTTCTCATGAGTTTGTTATCAGTTAAAAACATCAAACCCAAACAGCTGCTCTTCCAGCTCCTGTCCTCCAATTAAAATATATGACTTTTAAGACCACATAGAAGGAAAACGGTTAAAAGAGATATGCTCCTTACCTGAATTTGCAATTAGTATTAAGTGCTGAGACAAATGACTTTAAAACTTTAAAGCTATTCAATTAAAACTAGAACAGACTGTGGAGCTCAAGCCTTACTTGTTGCCAACTTCACACGGAAGACTGAACCCGCCCTAAAGATATTTAGTAGCAAAGTGGAAAATGGCGAATTGGATTTGAAAAAGGCAAAATAATATTAGAACTGGAGCTGTCGGAGATGCATAAGGCAAACTGTGTTTTAATGCTCAGGAACTTGGCGAAGTCTTTTTATATGAATTTTAATATTGCAGATGTATACAGTGGACGCTCGGGTTGCGAACGTGATCCATGCGGGATGTACGTTTGCAACCCGCAGCAGCGCGTCTGCGCATGCACGGGTTGTGATTCAGCACTTCTGCACATGCGCAAAGCGTGATTTAGCGCTTCTGTGCATGAGCGACCCCCGAAACCTGGAAGAAACCCGTTCTGGTACTTCCGGGTTTCGGTGGGTCCGTAACCTGAAAAAATGCAACCTGAAGCATCTGTATCCTGAGGTATGACTGTATTCTGTATTATTTTATTAATGCAAAGCCTAATGCAAGTTTGACATGGCCTTTGGCTAGAATAATAAACTTATGAACTTGTTGGGTGATAATGGTGCAATTGCAGCACTTGCACCAGGGCCCATGCTAGCAAGGGTGGCCAGACTGTGAACTTTGCATTAGAGAGGCTGGACTAGATGAACCCTCAGGATCCCTTCCAACTCTACAATTCTATGATAGAACATGGTTATAATAGGCCTCTGAGAGCACACACCAAATTGAGGAAGACTAAAAAGTGAAATGACATGAAATAGACATTTGGTACCACTGTGGGAGGGGGTGGGACTTAAAAATAAAAAATAAAAATCAACTGTGTATGAATCACTGCATATATATATGCAAAATTAAAAAATATTGTTTACTGTTGTGTTTTTCTAAAATATAAGTTACTGCTACTTGTTAGCTGCCTTGGAAAGATGGCTGTGTATCCTGAAAAGTAAACTTGAGGAAGAAGGAGTCGTGTTCCTCCGCTGCTCTCTGTAGTTCCTGGTTTACCCCACAACTCTTAGGCACCATTTAATCCTTTCCTTTTAACTGAATTATTTTAATGTATCAGAAGTGCAAAAGCCAGTAAGAATAAAGTAGGCCAACAGAACAAATGTTGGAAGTTTTAGTCTAAAATTTAGTCTAATGTTTCTTCACGTTTGGCAGCTGTGTATTAATCACCCCCACCAACCTCAAAAGGGTGCATTTTATCAAAGAAAAATGTTAATTGATGTTCTTTACCAGGACCATAATGTTACTGTTACTAAGTCATGAAATACCTTTTAGAAAAATCTCCCCTCTCCTCTGCTGACACTGATGGAGGGGGGAAAATCAGCAATTCAGCAAGCCAATAAAAGGGGCCGATTTTAAGTGCTTTTTCTGCTCCATACTCTGTTACTTTCTGGTGACAACAACATTGCAGCCCATGGATTTTCAAAGCAGCTCAGCCATTCATTTTCCACTTTCCTCTTTACGCCAGAGTGAAATTCAGGACATGGCATTAGCTTAAAAGAAATAAGCATCAACAGGATGAACTCTGCTCTGCTTTGCTTAGGTGAAACTCCCTTTGGATCCGATGGAAGTTTGATCCATGTAACTGAGAACGGGCTTTAATGCTCCAGGCACAGAACTGCTGCTATGCTACACAAATTCAGAGTGCAGCTGCATGCAAGGAATTAAGGATTTGCTGGCTTAACGATTAACTTCTTTATCCTTCTTAAAACTTATTATGACATCATCTTTTGAAACTCTCATTGATTAACTCACTGATTCCTTCAGTGCGAAGCACTTTGGCCAAAGCTTTTGTGGACCAATAAATTAAATGAATGGTTTACTGACCCACCTAATGGAAATAAAAAATTGAGCAAGCCAACTGTACAGAAGGTGTGTATCTGAAACTGGGATCAGGTGCACCTTATTCCAGTCAGAGGGAGAGAGCTGCAACAGCTAAATAGGCCTCTTGCAAATGAGCAGCTAATTAACGCCTGGCGAGACACAGGTGTAACTCTGGGGCAGTGGAAATGACACAGCAAAAGCAAACATTTGGTTAGTTCACTTTAGTGTAATGGCATGAAATGGGTCAATTGCCTCATGGAAAGCATATCTTAATTTGACTGGCAATGGGGGGGGGGGGGATAGCATGAGTTCATGAACCTGGGCACCAGAGCAGAAAACAACTAAAAATGAAGAGCTATAATTATAACACATTATATAGTAGCTGAGTGCACCAACCACAATATTTAGTTCAGACCCCAAATAGCACACCACAAAATGTGGCCTGAGGTACCTCAAGAGCTGCCGGATTTGGCTCACTGTCAGTTTGAGCCTGTTTATTTCTTTCCCTTCACATTCCCTTTCCTTCACTATTGTGATTAAAAAAACAACCCCAGCTATCATTTTTGTTTTCTTTCAACAGAAGTGGAAGAAATTTGCAGACATACTAATCCGTCAAGAGTGGATAAAATCACAACCACATGGGTCCAGGGGGCTCTGTGCTATGTAAATTTGATTTCTGTAAAATAAAAGATGGCATCTTTAGCTTTCTAAATCTGGGGCTGGGATTCCATGAAATGTGCAGGCACAGCTGTCTCTTCTGAAGGCATGGATCCTGCCAAGTTTCAGAAGGAAACTTGCAGAAGTTTTCCTGTAAGGGTCGCTGTTACAGGTTTTTTGATGTGTAAAAAAGGAATCACTTAATCTTTCCCTAGTGTTTTGTGGGTAACGGATCTGAAAACTGCAGCCTTTCCCCTGGGTAAGAAACCTAACAAAAGACAAACAAACAGGTTCATAGGCAATGCTTTTCTTCTAGTAAAAGGTGCCGGTGTTGTGTACCATTCAGTACCCCCAGAAATGTTCATAAGCATTTGTACTAACTGCCATTATTAGTTATTCCTATTAGTCGTTTACTTATGCAAATGACTCAAAGTAACTTACATATCATTAGAGCTGATTTTGGGGTGAGAAGAATTAAAACATAAAATCACTTCCTCTGATTATAAATTAGATCTGTCAGGAAGGAAGGATGTCTCCCTCCTCATCCTGGTTTCTTCCTTAAACTTCGAAACATAAGTTTCACTGTTATAAGGCTGCTCCTTCCCCCAAGGCACTGTGACTGGCAAGCACGGAAAACATCATTTTCTCTTATTACAAGCTAGACCTGTCAATAATGAAGGAGCGCCCCTTTTTTCCTCCTGGCATTGTGGCCTTTCCCTCAAACAAGAAATGTAAGATTTGATTTTGTCTAGCCGCTCCCTCTCCTCCCACCCCCTGGCATTTCCCTTATATGGCAAGCTTAAAGACATAGATTTGGTTTTAGGAGATGCTTGTCTGCAGCATTTTTCAAATGTCTGCATCATGGAGGAGACACAATGTGCTTCAGCAGTCCTTGCTTTGTTTCAGGCAATCCAAAAATCCCCTTGAGGTACCCAATATGCAAATCCTGAGTTCTGAGAGTAGTGAGGCAAGGGTCTGTGGTGTGCCTGCCTGCATGTGGAGCACCATCACAGCATCCCCCACCCCCATAACTGGTAAACAATCCAATTTTATACGCCAGTAGTGATGATATTACACTTCCCTGGTCTTAAATCTCACCTGAGAGGCTGGAGGAGATACATTTCTCCTGAGCTTATAAAATAAGAATGAGGAGATAAATAACAACCAGCAGCAATTATTTTGTGCCCTCTTCTGTCATATTAAAAATGTTGTTTCCATGCTGTTTAGAAATGTTCTTCAAACCACAATTCAAACAATCTCAAGTTATTTTCTGATGCAGGCTGCTGGAAGCCTGGGACTGAGGCCAATATCAGGTACCCATCTGTTCTTTTGCCTTGTTCATTCAAATTCAAGAGGTTCTTTGGCAGAGAGTGATTCAGGACAGTTATGAACAAGCAGAAACTGGTTCCAAGACCACACAGAGAAAATGGCGCAACTCCCCCCCCCTTACCTGTTGTTGCGCTGGATACTGTTGGCCACTGCTGCTCAGGTCCTCCAGGTCCCACACGTAAGCCTCCTGCTTCCTCCATGTGTACAGCACTAAACAAATGTACACAGTGATTAGATTATGCCGTTCTCATTAAAACAATATGGTTCCTTTTTAAAAGCAGCATTGCCCTTTCCGCTACACATTCCAAAATGCTCACTGTCACAGTTGCTCATAATCAGCACCATCATAATCATCACCCACAGCAGCAGCAACAACCATTTATGCAAATTATTTCATTCTTACTTATGATGAAAGTATTAATATACCACCTTTTCTGCTACAGTGTGCTTCCTGCAAAAGTATCATTGAAACCATCTAATGTTTCAGTTTTTCAAAATGTACAATAGTGGACCTTCATTGTATATTTGCATTCCACAACTTAATATATCCCTGCTCTCATCCAAGTCAGACAAATGTTGCACAAATGTTGCCTTTACGGAATGGGTTGTTTCCATTAATGAGATGTGACATGTCTAACATAGCTGGGAAATTACTAAATCCCAATAGTGTTTATGCCTTACCATTGAAGTAAATAATGAAACACTGTCCTGTCAGTTCCAGGCATCCTTCAGCTTACTACCATTAACCAAACTCTTACAGCAAGTATTCTGCTGTAATTTACAATACCCAGCAGTGATGGCACCTTATGCCTTTGGCTTGAAGAAAGAGGGAACAGCAGGAAACATTCCACAGAATCTTTTTCTGACACATTATGTGGTGAACATTCTGACATGAGGCCAGCACATTTAACAACCACACATTATTAAGGTGTAAACTCAAGTGATAATGACAAAGGGCATGTGGGTTTAAAGAAATAAATACATGTGCTTTGCTTGTCATATGGATAAATTTGATCCAAAATTCTAAAGTCAACTATTAGATTCTATTGATGGCAAAAATGTTGTCAATTTCCAAGCCAACCTTGCTTCATTAGATATAATTCATTGGCTCAGTTATTTGCATTTGTTGGTGACCATATTATAAAATAGGCCTTTATCCCAAAGCAGGTGCCCAGTGCCATTTTGGAGTACCTGATGCTGTCATGCTGACTCTGATGATGTCCCCAGTTACTGTTGCTAGGGTGACACACAGAACAGAGAGCGGGATTCAGCTAATGAGTCCCGTCAGTGCAAGTTCACACAGCAAGGTTTTTCCTCCTCTGCTCCATTGACACTCCCCAAAATTGGCTTGGGGGCAGCGAAAACTCCCAGAATAGCCTGCAGGGGGAGGAGAGGATCATTCTGTCCCGCAAGCTGCAATGCTTGTGCTGATGGGACATTTGCCCCAGCACGTAGTTGAATACCACCCAGAGAGATGTTTTTCAATGTGGCGGACTATCTGGAGTCATATTCTTGCTCAACCACGACACACATTCTGTGTAGTTTTGGACACCTAACCACAACTCATGGCTATTGGAAGATAAACTATATAACATGTATAATGTGTATCACACAGGGAGCAGAAATGACTAATAAAATAGTAATGAAGATAGTAAATGAATCAAACGATTTGTAGAGATAAGGGCTTGTATCTAGTGAAGTCATACCATCTTGCAGAACACAACTTTCTCTCTTCCTCCCCACTGCCATGCACACTCCTGGAGCGGATTTGGGGGGTGCAGGGGTCACAGGGAGAGGAGAAGGAAGGGAAATCCATTCTGCAAGTGGAATGCCTTGTGCTAACAAGATGACTTCATTGGGTACAACCAACACTAGGTTTGAATGCTGTGCACTGCCCTGAGAAAGAGGAGATTGAGAGGAGATATGATAGTCATCTTCAAATATTTTAAAGGACTGTCATATAGAAGATGAAGCAAACTTGTTTTCTTCTGCTCCGGAGGGTAAGACCTGAACCAATGGCTTCAAGTTACAAGAAAGGAGATTCCGACTAAACATCAGGAAAAACTTTCTGACAGTAAGAGCCGTTTGACAGTGGAATGGTCTCCTTTGGGAGGTGGTGGACTCTCCTTACTTGGGAGGTTTTTAAGCAGAGGCTGGACGGCCACCCATCATGGATGCTTTATCACAGCTCCCTGCATTGCAGGGGGTTGGACTAGATGACCCTTGGGGTCCCTTCCAACTCTACAATTCTATGATTGTATGCTCAAATTGTATTAAAACCACATATCCCAAAGACACCCCAGCCTCCTTCATTCCACAGAATCTGAACCCAGGGTAAGCACTGGCACCCTTTGGGTCTCTCGCCACTCAGGGATCAGGGTGTGAACAATATTGCTATATGTTATAAACAGTTATTAAAACAAGTCTGGAAAATATCTGAAAGTTGCATGACCTTACAGCTGCTTATGGGCTCACTCCACCAGGAACTTCTCCTACGCCACAAGGGCAGAGTCATGCTGTTATTATTATTATTATGTCACATTGTCTTAAGGGACACGGGTGGTGCTGTGGGTTAAACCACAGAGCCTAGGACTTGCCGATCAGAAGGTTGGTGGTTCAAATCCCCACGACGGGGTGAGTTCCCATTGCTCAGTCCCTGCTCCTGCCAACCTAGCAGTTCAAAAGTACCTCAAAGTGCAAGTAGATAAATAGGTACCGCTCCAGCGGGAAGGTAAACGGTGTTTCTGTGCGGTGCTCTGGTTCGCCAGAAGTGGCTTAGTCATGCTGGAAACATGACCTGGAAGCTGTACGCCGGCTCCCTCGGCCAATAAAGCAAGATGAGCACTGCAACCCCAGAATCGTTCATGACTGGACCTAATGGTCAGGGGTCCCTTTACCTTTACCACATTGTCTTGCCCAGGGCAACCCAAAACAACTTCCAACCAACCAGCCTACCAGACAGACAGACATCTTCCTGGTGGATCAAGGGCAATGCAACTTAAAGCAAGCAGATTGCAAATGAACAGTTTCCCTCACAGAAAAGAAGGGTACATGCGATACATACCCTTGCATTCCAGCTCTTAAAGATGCAGAATAACGCCAGTCAGGATTGGGTGGTTTTGGCTGCAAAACAAAGTAGGGAAAGAAATCAATATTAATTTCTGCTTAAACATGTTTAAAAAGCGATGCATTCTAATCTCGGATCACCTCCAGATTTCTTCAGCTTTTAAAAAAATCTGCCAAATGATCACAAAAATATACTCACTCAAAGGCAGTAGGGTTTGCCAACCCCTCACCCAATACATTCCAAATCTAGGGATGCCATATCTTGAAGAGCAAAAAAGAGGACGGGTGAAAAATGCTTGAGACAACAGAGCATGGGGAAGTAAGAAGAAAGAAGACAGATTCAACTCCACTTGCCCATGTGTGCCTTTTTAAAGAAAAAACAGAACCACTTCACTCTGCTTATATATGAATGGGTTAGTCACACGAAGAATTTGTGTGTTTTGACCAAGTTTTCTAGCAGCCTGTTGACTGCCATAAAGCGACTTTCCACCTTGAAAACTAGACTTGACTACAATTCCTATCATTCCTGGCCAAGGGTCATGCTGGCTGTGGTGGATGGGAACTGGAGTCCAACAACATCTGGGGGGCCACAGGCTGCCCTCCCCCCGTTATGATGACAGCACCTACACTCTGGAACTCCCTGCCCATTGACATTAGGCAGGCATGTTGGCTATATTGTTTTCAGTGACTGCTAAAAACCATTTTTTGTTTAGGCAAGCCTGCCCAGATATGAAAGATTGGCGTGCATTTTAATAGGTACTTTTCATTCAGAAAGAGTATATTTTTAACTACTGATTTTATGTACACTTGGATTTTTTTATGTTTTAAAACTTAAAAAATAATAATCCTGACTTTCTTTGATAATTTTAATGTTTTAATGTATAGTTTATGTTCTGTGTAAACCACCTAGAGGTTTCCACAATTGAGCTCTGCACAGATGTTAGAAATAAATAATTCAGAGCAGTAAAAATCTGATGGTAAGCAAATTTAATATTAGTATTTTAAAAATGGAATACAACCCCACACCAGCAAGGAAAGGTTTAACAATTGCAAAGTGCATATGCAATGTGAACAATTAACAGCATGCAAAACTCAAAAGCACGATACAGGAAGGTGAGAAACGATGTGTTAGGAAGCAGAATATTAAGGATATACTTAGGATATACTTCTTAGTTAATATTGCCATGGCTGAATGTTAAGGATTACCACAGAATGCATGGAAAAGGCAGGTTGTTGTTTTTTAATAACACTTTGTTTGTTTATCCAGTGAAAGAGAAAATGATTCTTTTCTACTGGAAGGTGTCTCTCTGAGTTCCATTAAGTGCAGCCTCCTGTGAAGAGTGGATTTCAGCCACTCTGCTTGTGATGGAGTTTCTGCTGGGGTTTATGGACTGCAGAGAATTACACTAGATTATATCAGGCTTGCCGACTGCAGCAGATTTTCATCAAAAGCAGACATGTTTTGTCACAACAGCAGGAGCTAATGCCTCAAAAAAAGGGATCTAAAAATGGGAGAAGGAAATAAGAAACGAGACCCTATTCTATAGCTCAAATCTCAGCCCTGACCAGCAATCATGGACATAATAATAACTGTATCAACCTATTGGTCTACAAATATCTCCTTTTTCATATTCTCAAATAACTGATACAGCATCTGTTGTTAGATTCACAGCTAATGGACTCTAGCCCACAAAAGTTTACACCCAATAAATCTGAATCTTTTAGATGTCACATATTCATTGTTTTTCCTATGAAATAATGTCTCTCTGTAAACTGAAACTGCAAAATCTTAAATTACTTTTCTTTGTTACACTGCTTACAAGAGAAATATTTGTCATACTTTACCATCAAATATTGTCATTAAGCATGACAATGCTAAATACCTGGACCCTGAGATTATCCTCTGAGGCCCTTCTTCGTGTGCCTCCTCCACAAGACGTACGGAGGGTGGCAACACGAGAACAGGGCCTTTTCTGCAGTGGCTCCCCATCTATGGAATGCTCTCCCCAGGGAAGTTCCTCTTTAGCCAGGCATTGGTTGATTAACATCGTATACCCCTTTTAAATGTGTGTGTTTGGGGAGGGGGGATTCTTGGATAGCGACTTTTTATGTTCTTGTTTTTAATATTTATTTTGTGTTTTTGCATTATATTTTAATATTATGAACCACTCTGAGATCTACAGATGAAGGATGGTTTACAAATTTAATAAAAAATAACAACAACTACAACTGTTTCCCCCACCCCCAAAAAACACTTTAGGAATTTGCCTCTCCACTGGATGTTTGCTACTAGGATGAAACTGTGGGTTTCATGGGGAGAAAGGTAAGCTGTGCTAAATCCCAGGATGAAGAGACAATTGAATGTTAGCCCAATTTTCCTGAGTAAGCCGAGAGGGATCTGACTGAGAAGTGCAGGATGCATTGTTTTGGGATCCCACGTTTTAGCATTTTCTTGAACACCCCAAAATCCACTACCATCTGGGGACTGTAAGTTAGGATGGTGGGAGCAGCTACCAGATAGTTAAGATGCAGCTTGCCTACACTGCAAGGTGGTTGTGCAATAGAAGAGTGCAAACAGGTTTTCCTAGCACCCCCACCCCTGCCCTTGGATACATGAGGCAGTTTCCAATTTCCTAGGAAGGCAAGATCTTCATCGGCTGCATTGGTACTTCCTTTGTGGCAGTCATGATCATTTCCTTTCTCATAGAACCACTGATGGACCACGTCTCTCCAAGCACCATGGGAACAATTTAAATTCAGCAGTAGAACGCATGCTTTGCCGGCAAAAGGTCCCAGTTTTAATCCCTGGCATTTCCAGGTAGGGCCAGATAAGACTCCTGTCAAAATCCCTGGAGAGTCATTGCTGGCTTCCTATGTTCTTATGACCTACCTTGTCCACATTCTCAGTCTGCAATAAGTGAAATCCATCCAAACCAACCTGACTAGTTGAGGCCCTGGCTACAACCTGTGTATTGGCCAATAAAGCTGAGCCAAGCTTAACATCAGAGATTAGGACTGGAGGTCTATCCAGGAGTCAAAGAAGGAAGCAAAGAACCAGGAAATGCTATCACTGCCCAAAGCAAAGTCCCAATCTGTACATAAAGACTTTGGAGCCCTTCCTATAGAGGATAGCCAATGGGTGGGTGGACTCACACATGGGAACATTTTGTTATTAGGGCAAAGGTGGCTAAACTGTGGCTGTGTAGATGTCATTGGAATACAACGCCCATCAGTTTCAGCCAGCATGGCCGATGATCATGGAAGATGGGAGCTGTAGTTCAACAGCTGGAGGACCATAGTTAAGCCATCCTTGATCTGTACGCTCTGTAGGCTCACAGCATTGGCAGCTGTGCACAGAACCATGGTGGCCTACTTCTAGCCCTAGCAGCTCTTCATACAGCCACAAAGTGGGTTGTTATGGTAAGTGGGGTTTTCTTCCACTTGTATTCCAGCCATCATATGAGCTGTTTCTTTAAGCCAGGCATGTCTGAACTCCAATTCGCGAGCCTAATCTGCCGGTTGGTTTAATCCGGCCCCTGTGGCAGTTTATTTCCTGGGGTAAAATCCTAAGAAAATCTCAACAACTTCAACCCTTAAAAAAGCTCAACAACTTCAATCCTAAAAAAAGTTAACAACTTTGGTTGGCCCTTTGGTCAGCCCTCACAGCCCTTCACTTCATCAAATCTGCCCTCTGTATTACACCACTGTATTAAGCCCACCTCCCTCTCTACATACACATACACAAAACAGTGAAGACAAAAGATAGCAGTAACCCTATGATGTCTCAGTCAACAGAGCACGAGACTCTGGGTCATGGGTTTGAGCCCTATGTTGGACAAAAGATTCCTGCATTGCGGGGGGTTGGACTGGATGACTCTTGTGGTCCCTTCCAACTCTACAACTCTATGATTCTACGAATGTCAAGGAGAGAGTGTGGCCGTCATTAGTGGCAATGCTCTCACTTTCTTGCTATCCTAATTCTTAACATAATGAGAAAGAATTGCTTTCTATAGCTGGACATTAAGCCTAAACTAAGGAGAGTCAAAGTTGCTTACAAATTGTGCAACTCATCTGTTTTACACTGGAAGCCTTCCTTTGAAGTATTTTTTGTTGAAGCTGGTGCTTCTGACTTGAGGTCATCTGCAGATTACCCTAGGAGAATGAAAATGTTCTCCCTCTAGTTTCTTGGTGTTCAATTTTTTATGTCAGGATTGAGTCTACATAGAGACATTTTTCTACATAGAGACAGATTTATTTGTCTAATGCAGACAGCAGAAGGCCTTTTTTGGCAGGCGACTGCATGTGTCACATTGGAGTATATGCAGGTGAATGAACTCCGATGGTAGGATTCTGATCTGTAGTGGTGATGTTATTAGGTCCTGCAATGGTGCATGTCTGCTAGCTGAGGATAACAACAATGCAAGTGACCTCTTTGAGGACTCCATGGTTTATGTCCTCAGAGCACCCAAAAAACCCCTCATTGACTAATGTGCCCATGTCTGAGGTCAAAAGTCCATGCTTTAAACCGTTGGCTTGATGCCATAATGGATAACATTCATTACAGCAAAGCAACAAGTACACAAATAACACAAGATAATAAGAGTGCTGTTGTAGTGGAATTGTTGGAAACAGCCCAGGAATAAATGCCCAGTCCTGCTTTTTCGTATTAAATGCATTGAACACAGTAAATTATTTAAAGATAGCTCTGCATTTCGTCTTGAGTTTCTTACAGAATGTCCTCTTGGATCAATATGCTTTATACAAAGAAGCTTCACCTGCCACTTTCTTTCTTTCTTTAAATTAAGAGCCCACAATAAACTTCAGTTTCCATACTCGTGTGATAATTTAAGTGCTGCCATTTTGCAAACATGCATAAGGCAAGATACTAAGCATTTGTGATTTGCCATGAGGCATGCAAGAGGAAGAGTTTTTGGGTGGGGGGGGATGATGTTTGAGATGCTGACGTCCCCAACTGTTCTAGATGTATGGAGAAAAATTTGGAGTTCTGCATTTTGCAACTAATGGATACAAGCTGGTGAAAGTAAGTGCAGTAATGATTAATAATTTGTTCAGAATTCAGCAACTAAAGTACTCTAACACTTTGAGAAGAGTTGAGAGGAAGGTAATTAAAAGCTATTTTAGACCTTCTGGTTCTTTGGCAGCTTCTGTGCTCTCCTTGTCTTTAAACACAATGAAGAGCTTTCAGAAGGATTTTAATGTCATTCAGTTTGTGGTCCAAAGTGCAAACAACAATAAATGGCTGCTCTAATGGTGTCCCTTCTGTCAGAACATTGCATTTCCACTGAGCACTGCACAACAGCCATCATCACAGCTCTGTAAATCTTCTCCCTCTCAGTGGTTCTGGATAATGATCTCTGGGGAGAGAGCAGGAGGAGGAGCATTCTCTACAAATGCAGTGTCTCTTCGACTGCTTCCAGTCCTAAGTGAAAGCATGAAGAACCACAGTAAAACTAACCCATGGAAAAGCAGAAAACAATGGGGTAAAATAAGTAAAATATTGTTTCTAATTAGTGCATATAAACATTTTAAGTAGATAAATGAATGATATTTATTCTTTTATTTAAAAGCTTTTCTAAATCACTTAATGTTTTTAAGATTTCTATCTAATCCACAATATCCATTAAGCAAAAATACAATCTGAAACCAATAAAACAGGAGCACAAAAACATAAAAAAGCAAATAAAACAGAAATTTTGAGGATTCAAATATTTAAAACAGGGTCCAATCTCTGGAATAAGTGTGAATTGGCTTCATGTATGGCAGAGGGAAGGGCATTCCATAGTTTTGGGGTCACTATGATATTCTGTGGAATGTTCCCTGGTGATCTAAGGGAGTTTATAGAGGCGGGTGATCCTTCTGATAACCTGGTCATGAGTTGTTCAGGGCTATATATGTTAACAAGACCTTGAGCACGGCCCCGTAGGTGATCAGCAGCCAGTGCAGTTCCCTCAGCACAGGTGTAGCATGCCTGAGTCTCAGGGCTCCACTCAACTACCTGGCCACAGCATTCCGGTCCGGCTGCAGCTTCTGGACCGATCCCATGGGAAGTCCTGTACAGAGTCCATCTCTGGACTACATTACATCATTCCAATCATGAAGTTTCCAATGCACAAGTCACCATGGTAGAGCTAATATATCTTACATCTATCTGTCTTGTCTATCTAGATCAGGGGTCAGCAACCTTTTTCAGCAGGGGGCCGGTCCACCGTCTCTCAGACCATGTGGTGGGCTGGACTATATTTTGGGAGGGGAAATATGAACGAATTCCTGTGTTCTACAAATAACCCAGAGATGCATTTTAAATAAAATCACACATTTTACTCATGTAAAAACACCAGGCAGGCCTCACAAATAACCCAGAGATGCATTTTAAATAAAAGGACACAGTCTACTTATGTAAAAACATGTTGATTCCCCGACCATCTGCGGGCTGGATTTAGAAGGTAATTGGGCTGCATCCAGCCCCTGGGCCTGAGGTTGCCTACCCCTGATCTAGATACACACACACGAAATAATTTTATATGCTTATTGCATCTAATTTCACCAATAGTTAATGAGATCTTTAAAAAGATGGGTTTTGATGAAAAATAACCATGCACATTCATAAAACCTTTAATACTGTGTCTTGCTTTAATCAGTGCTCTCAGAAGCCCCCTACAGGCAACCACTAAGTGTACAAATGAGCCCATGTAGGGAAGGAGTGAGAAGGGCATCCAGATTGGGGGGGGGGCATTACAAGCCTTTGAACAAGCATAAAGGACCACCCATTAGTCGCTTCAGGTGTCTTGAAATATCATATATTTTTGCTCAGGCTTTCCTTGATCCATAAGACTGAACCCTCTTATTACTGAATATATTTTTTATATGTTTTTATATGTTTTATATGTTTTATATGTTTTTATTCCTGTTTGTCTGGCTTTTGTGTTGTCAATTTGCTTTTATGACACTGTCTTGTTGTTTTTATGCTGTATTTTTGTATACTGCTTAGAGATTTTTAAATACCAAGCAGTCTGAAAATGTGTTTAAATAAATCAATCAGTATGTCTGGTTCTATGACTCAACGTGCAATCCTTAATCCACATGCCTGGGAGTGAAGCCCCACTGAATTCAATGGAACTTACTTCTGAGCAGACATATAGGGTTGCACTGTAAAGGGCAATAGAAATTCTCTGATGGCTTCCATTTGTGTTGGCTCAAACCCTAATCAAGACAGGGAAGTAGAAATCACAGATCTACAAACAATCACATTTGCAGGGGGGAAATGAAGGCTGCAATAACTTAGCTGAATCCTGCCAACTATTAACTCTTGCAAGCATAAAACTGGGATAGCTCACTTGGTACAGCATGAGGCTCTTAATCTCAGGGTCATGTTGGTCAAAATATTCCAGCATTGCAGGGGGCTGGACTAGATGACCCTCATGGTCCTTTCCAATTCTTTAAAAAATGTGTGTGTGTGTGTGTGTGTGTGTGTGTGTGTAAGAGACGGGGGGGGGGGGAATTCATCTGCCCAAGCCTTTACTGTGGATTAACTTGAGTCTCTCACAATCTTCCAGGAAGCCATTCTCAAGTGCATCTATAATTACCTGCATTTTGTAGGGTGAAACTGGCAGCTACTGCCTTGCTCCCAGATCCACAAACAGTTTTCCATGGGGATCACATGGTGGGAAGAGGGCTGGCAAGCACCCCTTATCCTTCATCCCTTCTGTTGCCCTCATTTCAGTTCAGGGCAGACTTCTCCTGCCTTTTGCCAGGGGTTATCTGAGGCCACTGCCACTCCCTGCTTCTTTCTTTTGAGCAGTCATTCTCATTCCTTTCCTTGCTCACCAGTAGCCGTAGTTAGTCAGGAAAGTAGCCAGGCCTTCACCCTAGCCAAAACAACACCTCCTGCCATTGCTTTCTGATTCCCAGTGCCACTGATATCAACCTCCTATCCTCCTCGTACACAGCAACACACACTCTGATCAGATGGGAGAGCAGATGCTATAAAACCGCTGCAGAAATTTGTGAGCACAACAGAGCAATTGAAATGCATCACTAGATTCTATCCCTGCAGCTTCAGAAGTCTTGCTGCAGAGTTCCATTATTGTTGTTTGAGTTTCAACCAAGAAACAGCCCCCAGGTGGCTCACAAAAGGTAACACACAAATACTAAATTCAAGGGGGAAAGTGCGTACAGTCAGTGATTATTTAGAAAACATCAAATGTGTTGGCCCTTCCTATCTCAATGTCTCTCAAAGCATTCAAAATGGTGGCAGAGTAAACAGTGGTACCCAAACAGACATTGCTATTGTTAGGCAAAGATTTAGCATGCCAACTGACCAATAGCAACACCCTACAATGCATCTCTGCTGAAGGCACAGTTTTAAAGCTAAGCGTCACTCTGGTGAAAGGGCTTTTTGCAGCAGACAAGGCAGACTGAGAGGCTCAACTGCTGCTGAGGAGAGCAACAGATGACGAAGGTGAAAATCCAGCTCATAAGACATCTGTGGCCAGAAGGATTCCAGCACTTCCCTCGTCAGGGAAGAGAGAGAAGTATTCAGACAGTCAAGGAATGGCACATATTTTCTGAAAAGGTTACGTTAAAAGCCCAATGGTAAAATAATATTTCTTCCCTTCTCCTGCAAGACAGCAATTGCAAATGCTGGCTTTAATCTCACAGTGGGTCAGCAGTGAAGCCAAGACGGCTTGCCAGGCTTGTTGTTCCCCTTAGGTGATTATCCTGCCCTGACTGCCCTGTTCATCCAGCAGTGATGAATTATAACACTAGACATTCATTAAATCCTGTGCCTTGATCCTTTGCCTCTGCAGTGCCACCAACAATCTCTCTGCTGCCTGCTGGCTATTGCGCTACTAATGCTGCTGAAATGACCCCAGAGCATTCTTTTTTTTTCATTGCACAGAACAAAGTTTGTCTATTTAAAACAGTCGTTTGCAGACAGACACAACACTTTTAATAGTCACAGTTAGCATGTGCTTTTCAGAAGCTACTAAATTACAACCTAGAAATGCATGCCCAGGTGGACAGTATCAGCAGGAAATGACTCCTTCGGTTCTAGAACACTCTGGCCAGATCACTGTCTAGGTTGTGTGACACTTTTCCATGTTTTTATTCATAGTTCCATTCCATTTCCACAGTAATATGCATTTTTAAAGAATCATTTCTAAATACCTATTTAAATAGTATTGTGCTGTTTAAATACATGTACAAATGCATATTTAAATGCATATTTTCTGGCAAAATAGGTATTTAAAAGCACATTGTGATAATTTAAACTGTACATCTCAAAATCTGAAGAAGCACAAAATCCCCCACGTATTCAAACTCATATCCTCACATTACTCCAAGAGGTGTGTGGATCATGTCATTTTGTGTTGGAATTTGCAAAGACTGAATTCCTCAAGAATTCTTAGATTAGAAGGAAAGTGCTTCCTCTTTCCCCCCATGTTTAGCATAAATTGTCCTGCCTCCCTTGGCCAAATCAAAAGTAAAAAATAAAATAAAAAATGAGCAGAGACTTCAGTTGGGGGGGGGGAATTATTTAGCCGCTTTCCCTAGCACTTTTTGTTTTGTTGCTTCTGTGCAAAGTCTTCTCTTTAATTTGGCTTCTCTTCTTCCTGCCTCTCCCCACTACCACACGTATCCTGCTTGGGAACTGTCCTATGAGTACTTAGTGGGGAAAGATTAATTTGCAAATTCAGGAAAGGAGGGCATGATGAAACTGCCTGGGGGCAAAAATAAAGCCTGTTTTTTGGCTGCACTCACAGTTGCCTTTTGCCTGCATCCTACTCTGGGTTTGTCTCCATCACAGATTTGATGGGGGAGGAGCAGCTAGTTATTTTTAGCAGAGAATTCTCAGCACCATCATCAAACAACAATTCCAGGAATTCTTAGTGAGAAGCCAATGTAGCTAAACTGGTATAAAGCAGATATCGGTTTGTAGTACAGATATATGTTCTCTCTGTCTCATATGGACCCCTGTCTTGGCAAAACACAATATCACAAAACTGCAAGGCAACCCAAGGACTTCCAATCTCTGCTCTAAGCTTCAGTAGCCCATCACTTGCATTCCATCAAGACTTTTCTTAAAAACCTTTAAAGGAGATACCTATAACCTCCAGGAAATGCTTTCCATTAGGAAACTGCAATTACAATAAACAAGATTCTCTATTGTTTTATCTAAATCTAGCTTCAGTTTCCTGCTGGCGCACTGCATAGCTTCTGATGTAGTATCCCCCCGACAGCTCACCTTCCAATTATCCAGGTCGCTAAGGCTTTCTGGGGAAAACTGAACACAGGTGCCATGCTGGAAGCTACTGAGGTGTGCTCAGCACTTTTTGGAAAATTGACCTTGATTTGGATTGCTGATCATGTAAAACTCTGACACACACACAGAGGTGGAACAAGAGAAGGCAGAATGAAAAAACAAAGTATCATTCCTAAAATGCTCCCATTTTACCCGGGTAAAAGACACAGTTTGGCACGCACGCACGCACGCACGCACACACACACACCACACACATTTGCGTACACACATACACAGGCTAGGAGCCTCAATGGCACTCCTCTACCTGGGGCAAAAAACCTAGCTAGCCACGCCCCCCCCATATGGATACGGCTCTGATAGAAATAGTTAGGATATTGTGATGGTCACATCTATATAGCATCCCTCTTTGCGCTGATAACATACTACAGTACCAGAAACCAACCAAGAAGTTACAGGGCAACTACAAATTTCCTACTTCAAACAAAACTTCCCCTCTTTTACCCCACTATAGTATTAATGACATCATGGAAAGTGCTAGTAAATTCCCATGAAATAAGCAAGTGGATAATTTAGTGCTGTTTTAAAGGTAAGGAAAGTCTCCAGACTTGTCTTTTACAGTCTCTGATTGATGTATTTTATTCCATGTTTACAAAACATGTAAGAAAATGCAAAACTGGATTGTAAAATCTTTAGAACCAAACTAGATGAGATAGCAATATACTCATGATCATGTATCCTATAGTTGGTAGTATTGGTAGTGGTAGGTTAAAGTTAAAAACAGCAATATATAGAGGGTGATCAGACTGGGCCTGGAACTAGGAAGGGGGCGGGGAATTATCCTTTTTATTCTCTCCGTCTCTGTATCTCTCCCTGTCTCTCTCTCTCACACCCACCGCTGCTATTTGCCCTGAAGATGGAAAATGCCAAGGACATTCCACTGTTTTCAATGAAACTTTCAAACTTTGACATTATGACTTAAATCCAATTCACTTCAGTGACCAGGATAGGTAATCAAACACAGAAAAATACATTGCAGGAATAGCACCCACCCTTCAAGTGACTTGGGGAAATTCTTGCCCTTGTGGGAGCTCCGTGTATATACTGGAGGCTTCACATGAGCACACTGCCTGTACATTTAAGTTTTTCTTATTGCAATGAAGAGCAGATGGGGGGGGGATTTTCATCAGGAAACTGATGCGGAGAGAAAGGATTATCCACTCTTCCCATGGTCCTGATACACATGCTCTTGGCCAGAATTTAAAGCAATAGGAGTTCCAATCTTGCATCTTCACTGCCTCGTTTAGCCAGATCTTTACTTTCAGTAAACTTATTTAGGTTTGTGGCACCAAAAATCCATACTGCTGTTCAGCAAGTATTTTATCTGGACTGAGGTCAAACAAATAAATTATACCTATTGATTCATTTCAGAAATGCAGAAATTATCAAGCTGACATAGTAGCCTCAATAGGTTGTCCATCACACCAAGGCCATTAAAAGCTGTCCATGGCATAATCCAGACTATTTTCTCAGTGCAGATTATGCTAATTTTCTATTTAAGGTTGTTGGTCTTTTTCCTTTTAAGTAACATAACCTTTTTCAAGTGAGTAAGTGATTGTTGGAGAAAATTACATTGAAACAATTTCACCTTGGGGCTTTCAATAGAAGTTTTTTTTCTTTCTATTTACTAACTTATTTAACTTGTTTTCTGAATACTGAAAAAACTGGCTGTCCAACTTTGTTTTTACTGTACTACTCTTATTTTCAGCAAAGCATATCTGCATAATTTTACCAAAATATTGAAACGGAGTACATTTTGTTTCCTACTTCTGAAGTCCATTTGGAGACAGTGTGACTGCTTTCACTATACAGCTTTGAATGGTACCTGGAAAAAACACCCAGTATTGTACTGCTGTGCTGCAGATGCCATAAAACTGAAATGATATATAGGATCCTTTACAACCTACTAAGTGTTAGTATTGTTTACTAATAAATAAATAAATAAATAAATAAATAAAGTGTATCACTACAAGAGAGCATAGGTACTAAACAAGTACATTGGGGGTTGCAGACTAATGTACTGCAACAGCACAGCAAAAACTGGGTCAACATACTGAATTATGTCACTAGACTTTCAGAGAAATGGGGAGGTAGGACAGGAGGACAGGAAGAAGAGGCAATACCATGTGAGAAGTAAAACACTGTGTTACCAGTTTAATCTATTCATATCTGCTCAGAAATAAGTCCCACTGAGATCAAAGGTGGGATTGTAGCCTAAGAATGTTTTATATGTTCTCGGCCACCTGGAAAACATACAGCCAAGTGTATCTTAATATGATGATCCAGAAGATGGAACATAATTACAAAGTCTTGTAGGCTGCAAACCAATACCCTGGGAGTAAGCCCCACTGGACACAGTGCTTCGAAGGAAACACGCATCACCTGAACATCATTTGAAGCATATTGATTCTCAGAATGAGCCTTCTTATGCTTCTTTTATGCGTATTTTGTGCTATCATATAATCTGCTAGAGTGAACTTTCTCCTACATGTAGAAAGGTGATAGAACACCCTGATACTTTGATCAGGAAGATAAAAACCCTTTTAAAACAAAGTGCTACACAGATATAATACACCTGAGCTAGGAGAACAGAAGGAATCAAAAGCCTCCAATTTTGTTTGGGGGGAAAATGAATGTCATGCCTCACCATTCCTTTAACCCACTCTTGTTTCCTATCAATATCCTGAGCATTAAGCATGTAAAAGACCACTGGTTACATTCAAAGCCTGTTCAGGTCATTTTATCCATTCGGTCCTCACCTCATTTGGAGTGATGGGCTCACTTTTAAGTATGATCAGGTTCTGTGCGCTCTGCCCACTCTGCCCAGTCAGATGTCTCTCAGCCATCCCAGCCTGGGAGTGGATTCCTGCTGGGACCCCGGTGTTGTAAAACATGAAAGTATCACTTCCTGAGCCTGCAGTCAGACAAGCTTTATAGCAGTAGGTCTTGGATAGAGAGCCATTGCCCCGCACTTCAACAAAATGGGGCTGGACTTTTAAACCGTTTGACATTCTGGTGTCAAGGTTGTTATTTGCCTGCTTGTACATTCCGACCGGGCACCTTTCTCTGGGCGTCCCACAGAACCCCCCACAACAGGAGCTCATGTGCACACTGTGTTTCTGGCACTTGATTACAGCGAGGACAACGATTGTCAAGAGAAATATAAATGAGACAGAGCTCAGAGCAACAATGAGATAAAGGGTGATCTCAGAGTAACTTCTAGAGCTTTTTACGTGCCTCCTTGTGTCAGGAATGATTTTGGAAATCCTGTCCACCACGGCAACTATGATAGACACGGAGGAAGACAAGGGTGGCTTTCCATTGTCTCTCACTACAACAGTAAGGTTGAAGGTGGTCACAGTGTCCTCCGGCAGTTTTCGAGTAGTCCTAACTTCTCCACTGTGAAGTGCCACTCTGAAGAAGTCTGGAGCTGAAGACTGGGCCAGGTGAAAGAAGAGCCACGCATTTTGCCCAGAGTCTGCATCAATGGCTATGACTTTGGTCACCAAGTATCCAGTGTTGGCTGAGCGGGGGATCATCTCCATAGCTGCCGAGGCATTAACTGGGGCAGGATACAGAATCTGTGGTGCCTGGTCATTCTGATCCACCACATAGATGTTCACTGTGGCTGTGCTACTGAGTTGTGGCACCCCCGAGTCTTGGGCCTGCACAACAACCTGGAACTCCCTCAGCTGTTCATAGTCAAAGGAAGTAACAGCATAAATGTCACCAGTGTCAGATTTAATGGAGACATAGGAGGCCACAGGGAGCCCCTGAATCTCTCTGTTCAGCAGAGAGTAGGAAATGTGGGCATTTTCATTGGCATCAAGGTCAACAGCCTTGGCAGTGCAGAGGGAAACCCCTGGAGCATTGTTTTCAGGGATGTAAACAGAGTAAGCGGATTCTTCAAACCGTGGTGGGTTGTCATTGATATCAGAGATGTCCACCTGGATGACTTTGTGAGAAGTTAAGGGAGGAATCCCTGCATCTGCAGCAGTGATGGTAATATTGTAGGTAGCAGCCCTTTCGCGGTCGAGAACCCCCTGAGTCACCAGGGTGTAAGAGTTTTTGAAGGAATTAAGTTTGAAAGGGAGGTTGGCAGGAATGCTCAAGCTGACTTGCCTGTTCTGGCCAGAGTCCTGGTCAGTGACGCTCATTAAGGCCACCACGGTGTCAGGGGGGGCATCCTCAGAGACTGGGCTGTACAAGGAAGTCAGAACAACCTCAGGGGCATTATCATTGGCATCCACAATGTGGACTAGCACCTTGCAGTGCCCAGCCATGGGGACGGGGCCCCTATCAGTGGCTTGCACATAGATCTCATAGGAAGATGCTTCCTCGTAGTCCAGCGTCCCGTTAACCCTCACCTCTCCCGACACTGGGTCCACGCTGAAGAGCTGGCGCACTTTCTCCGGGGTGTAGCTGCTGAAGGAATAGCGCACGTCGCCGTTGGAGCCCTCGTCCGGGTCGGAGGCGTTCAGCCTTGCCACCAGCGTGCCTGGCGCCACATTCTCCATTAAAGTCGCCGTGTAGGTGCCGCGGTCGAACTCCGGCGAGTTGTCGTTGGTGTCCAAGACCCGCACGGAGATCTGGGCCGTGGCGGACTTGGCCGGGTCGCCTCCGTCGACAGCGGTGAGCACCAGCTGCTGGCGGGCGCTCTGCTCGCGGTCGAGGGGCTGCAGCAGCACCAGCTCCAGGAGTTTGCTGCCGCGCTCGAAGTCCCCCAGGCCCAGCCCGAAGTGCTCGCTGGGGCTGAGGCGGTAGCTCTGCACCGAGTTGGAGCCCGCGTCCGGGTCGTCTGCGCCCTCGATGGGGAAGCGGGCGCCCGGTAGCGCGGACTCGCTGACGTCCAGCCGGTACTCCTGGCGGGGGAATCGGGGCGCATGGTCGTTGATGTCCAGCACCTCCACCTCCACGCCGTGCACCTCGACCGGCTGCTCGATCACCAGCTCCAGGCTGAGGAAGCACGACGGGCTGAGCTCGCACAGCGCCTCCCGGTCCACGCGCTCCTTCACCACCAGCAGCCCGCGGCCCACGTCCAGCGCCAAGTACTGCCGACCGCTGCCCGACGTCAGCCGGGCGCCCCTCGACGCCAGCTGCCGGGGCTCCAGCGCCAGGTCGTCCGCCACGCTGCCCACCACGGCGCCCCGCGGAACCTCCTCCTGCACTGCGTAGCGGAGCTGCCCGACGGCGGGACCCAGGCACAGCAGCAGCAGCAGCCAGGAGCCCAGGGCCTCCGCCTCGCGGCCGCGCCGGGAACCCGGCGATGTCATGGCAAGTCCAGGAAGGAAGGCCCCCGGCAGCTGCCCCTCCCCGGGCAGGCGCACGCTCAGCCTCCCGGCAGCAGCGGCAGCGGCAGGAGGGTCATGCAGGCGGCTAGAAGGCGCTGCCAGGAGCCCCCGGCGCGGCCACTGCGCCCCTCCTCCGCTCCGGGGCCGCCCAGCCCCTCATGTCGCCCAGTCGCCAGCTCTGGCCCGCTCTGCGATGGCCCCGTCTCCTCCGACGACAGACAGGCTGTTCCACTCCTCCTCCTCCTCCTCCTCTTCCTCTTCCTCCCCCGCCGGCTGACGCGGCTGCTCCTCCGCGCTCCGGGGAGGGGCGGGTTCGGCGCTCGGCTGGCTCCGTTTCAGCACCTGGGCGAGGAACAGCGACCTCGAGGCGGGCGGCCAGCCAGGAGCGACGCGGCGAGGAAGAGGCAAGGGTCGGGCCAAGGAGGCGTCGGCGGGGCAGTCGAGGGTGGGCGCTGGGGGGCGGGAAACAGGGGCGCAGCTATGCAGGCCGGCTGCCCCACTCACTCACTCACCCCGCTTCTCAACAAACATGGGGCAGGCGCCACAGCGCACATGCACACACCCGAACACCGGGGGCTGCTCGATGCCTAGTCGAGCCGGGGGTCCCTCTAGCCTACTTCTGCTTTCTCCACCTGGCACTGCAGATTCGGACCCAGGATATTCGCCATCCTGGCTACCTGGGAGGCTTTCAACGAAAATGCCAGAGGTTGGAACTGATCTCTTCTGCGAGCAGGGGGTGAGTTTTCCCGCCCTGGGGGCCCTTCTCCCAACTCAAAGCCTCGCTCCCATCCCAGCAAGGCCCCTTCCTCCCGTTCCGATGTCAAATCCAAGGAAAGAAAAGAAAAGGTGAGTCTTCCCACTGGCCTTCGACCAGCTCACACACCTGTTTGCTGCAGCCACACCAACATGTTCCTTCTTTGGTGCAGCAAACAAATCAAGGAGAAAAATCCGCCCCCACCCCAAAAAACTAGGAAAGGAGTATGTTGATTTATATAGGTGGGTTCAAGATCCCTAAGGCTCCAGGAAGTAATGAAAGAGAAAAAATAAGCAATCAAAATGCAGGAAGAGGGATACTCGATTTATAAACAACATTAACACACCACTTCCAATCTTACAAATTTCAAGCTTACTAGCAAATGAAAAGATGGTATATACTTTTACCAGGGAAGGGAGTGCCATAGTTGTGACACAGCCCCTCTAGAGGCTTTCAGTCTTTGACATCCTGATGTCTAGAAAAGGCTTCCCTGCAGGTCCTTTTTCTTGCTTTTCCAAAACTCCCCCTTCACATTGCTTTTCCTTCCTCAGTTCCCTCATATACCAAAACTGGTATGTGCAATCCACCTTCTGGAATCTCACCACACAACTTGTGACTCACCAAGCCAAACCCAGGTTACTAGCTATATTTCTTTGACAAACCTCCTGTTTTTGCTACTTGCGTAGGACTGGAGAAAGGAGAAAGTGTGTCTAATATCTGGCAGCCCACAGGTTGGCGGACTATTTTTGGCTTGGTGAGCCACAAGTTGGGCAGACCCAGACTCTGTTTTTCCTTAAATTAAATCACAAGCTTTTAAGACAGCATTCATTATAAAACTGCAAATGAGTGATAGTCTTTCAGTAATAATAATGAAAATGAGGAGTCTGGGAAGTAACAGTATTTCTCTGTATATGCCAATGATTGTGTCTTATTAAATTTGGATTCATTGTGTGCAACACAAACTCTGGACTTCAAAATAAAATTAACCATCCTGCTTTCTTTATTCATATCAGAAATATTGCCCTATGCATGTGTGCATGCAGAATTACCCTATGCAGAAAATCTTATTACAAAGAATACAGTTTCTATAATAATAGCATTGGTAGTTAATAGTATTGGTTTTGAGATCCATTTGAAAAATTACACAATTCCAAGAACAATTACAAAAAGATAATTACTCCCCCCTCCAAATCCTTTTATCTTATGCCATAGTTCATACATGTTTTGGGTACAAGTAATTTCCTGCTGTTTTCTTCTCCTCCTCCCCATTTCTATTTTGTGGGATAAGTGAGAAGAAGCAGTATGAAGCATAATTTTCCAATGTCTATCCTATGCAAGGAATAGTTGCATGCATTTCTTGTGTCAACAGAGACTATCTGTATGGCTTAGTTATTACTAGGGTTGTAAACTAATGTCTAGGCTGCACTACTTTGGACAGTATTTGGGGGCTCACATGATTAAATGCTCTCCAATTTTCAAAACCACCACATGCAGAAAACCAGCATATCAGGGAGTACTATTCTAGCCTGGCCTTTTTCTGACATCTACTTTTTTCTGTGTGTAAGCATTACATTTTTAAAAAACAACAACTGAGGAGCATTCCGTAATGTCAGCCCCACTTGTAAAATGCACTGATACACCTTAGAGAGAGGTTTACCATCCTGGAATCCGTCAGAAAGAAGGGTGGGATATAAATTGAATCTATCTATCTATCTATAAATAATAATGCTGGGAGTAGACCTACGTTTTCCCCATACTGTTGAATTCAAAAGGTTCCAAATACTTTGAGCAGAATATGTATAATCATAGCATTTATTGCTTTTATTTCATTTTGGATGTTTTGTTGTTGTTACAATGTTGTAAGATGTCTTGGAATGAGTCATCCTTAAAGGTAGAGTATAACTATATTACACAAACTTGTGGGTTGGAATACAGATGTCTTTACAGAGGCATTGTGGACTCTCCTTACACTGTATGGAATTGCACTGCTGATAATCTCCTCATAAAGCTTCTGTTTCTCCCCCTTTCTAAATATATTTCTAAGCCTCTCCTGAGCTGGCATATATTTCTTGTTCCAGTTCTGCATCAGACATTTTGTTTCATGCTTCAATCCTCTTTTATGCCTGACTTGCTTGTTTACATATTTCTTCCTCATTTGAAGCTATTGGCCTCAGTTTGTCATATCGGGCATCTTTATTAAATTGATCATTGGTACTAATATGTACTCTCCCCCTCATGCCATGCCTCAGTTCAGTGCAAAACTAATCTCATCTTTGATGTAAATTGAAGTCGCTTAGGTGTGTGGAGGTGGTGGCCATGTGTGTGTAATACAGCTGTTTTGCAATAAAACTGTTCAACCAATCATTAAAAAAACCCTGACTACATTTAGATTGTATAGTCTGTGATTTTCGGATATTGCTGACTTTGCCATTGTTTCAGAAATTAGTATATAAAATATAATAGTCCTCATCTTACATCTCTCTTTCTGTTCAACATGTCTGTGAAGCTACTGGATAAGATTTGGATTTAGGTGGATTTAACTGAAGAGTAAGGTCACAATGAGAGATTGATGGAATTTGAGCTGCCCAACTGTAAGCATAACCAGTAGCCTAGAAAAGATCACACAGCTATCTAGACCACGTCCTTATGCAGTTAACATCTAAACCTTGTTGTCACTGAGGAGGCAAATCTGTGACTCCTTTGGGTGTGTTGTTCTGTTTTTAAATTTGAGACTCACTTGACTAAACCTTCCTCCATACAGCAACAACAAGAAATCCCTGCAAATGAAAAGCAAGCATGCCAAGTGAGAAAGTTAGACTAGAATCCTTATCTCTAATATTTAATTTTGTGTGAGGGTGGATTTTGTTTTGTATGGAGGAGCATTCCTTCAAATGAGCCCCAAGCCAGCTCTCTGCAGCCCAGACACAGCTTGGCCAACACAGGTCTTCCCCCCTTCCACCCTCCCCTTACTTATTCTCTGGCTATTCTGAGGACTAAATGTAGACAAATTAATTGAAGCTGAATGCAGACAAGACAGAGGTAATGATGGTTGGCAGAGGGGATAAGGACACTCATTAGAGAGGATGTTCAGCCTCCCCAGGTCACACAGGTTCATAGCTATAGAGCGCTCTAGGGGTGGCCATTGCACCTGAATGTTCATATTGTAGGAATGCTTTTGGAAAGGGTTGTGTATCCTAGACAGTTCAGAATTTGAAGAAGAATGGCTTTTCCCCCAGCCGGAACTCACTGGAACTCAGTTCCTGCACCTCTTGGGTGGGCGCCATTGCCATTATAAGAGAATGAGGGAGACATTCATGATGAGCTCCAGCACCTTTTTTTTTTTTTTTTTTTTTTTGAGAAAAATAGCACTGGTAATAATAGTAATACAGTGGTACCTCAGGTTAAGAACTTAGTTCATTCTGGAGGTCTGTTCTTCACCTGAAACTGTTCTTAACCTGAGGTACCACTTTAGCTAATGGGGCCTTCCACTGCCGCCGCACGATTTCTGTTCTCATCCTGAAGCAAAGTTCTTAACCCGAGGTACTATTTCTGGGTTAGCAGAGTCTGTAACCTGAAGCGTCTGTAACCCAAGGTACCACTGTAGTAATAAAAAAGTATTACAAAAATAAATATTCCTAAACTCAAGTGATCTTCTAAGGTGTGGAGTTCCATAACCTGGGAATTATCTCTGATTTTTGCTGATGTTCTAATTCTGTCCCAGGAGAATATTCCCATGTAGATTGAAACCTGGTTATGAAGTGCTTATAGTTATAGTCCTGCTTATATGAACCGGCTCGCAGTCAGTATTCCCCTGTGCTACTTAAAAGCATTTGACCCTCTAAATTGCGCATATATCTTTGTGAATATAGTTCTCAGTGAGGTGGTGAGCCTGCGTCTGAGCTACACCAGCTTCAGACTATGGGCTCACAAAAGGCCTGCAAGCTGCAATCCTTTCCCACTAAAACCATTGGAGTTTTGTTACTGACTTCAGTAATACTAATATTCCACCTCTATAATCAGAAGATGCCAGTTCAAGTTAAAACAGTGGCTCCTGTTAAGTACTTGGGAAGCTGAGATTATGAGCTGGTTCTTGTGCATTATGTTTTGATGGATTGTTAAAGCCCAAATTACTTATTTCCACTGCTGGAGGTCATGTTATACTTTTGGACAGCCCTGTAGCTGGCCAGTGTGCTGCCAACGCCATTTATTCTTTACCAATTTGTTTGCT